TATTCGGTATTCGGCATATTCGGCAGCTTTACCGAATATTCGTTTTCGGCCGAATATTCGGCCGGCTAAATCACCGAATATTCGTTAAAGTGGTACTCAAAGTGTCCACTGTATTTAAATGTACGAATTGAGTAATGCCATGTCTTTCATAATTTTACTGTTGAAAGTATATTTTATTTATGGATTAAATCTACTTGTATAGCATTATGTTTTAGAGGTACTGTAGATTTATTTCCAATTATAGCAAATAGAAAGCTTGATATTTTTTTTTATACTTCGAAATGTAACTTTATGTCCTATAGTCGCAAATATAAACCGATTCTCTTTAACTATAAATTGAAAGGTGAAAATCTTAAAAGGGATTCCATTGTTAGAGATCTCAGTGTTCTTCATGATTCCAAATTGATATTTGACGTTCACTTAGGAAGCATTATAACCAAATCTACGAAAGCTCTTGGATTTTTGATGCGTAGCTCTAGGGACTTCACTAAAGCTAAAACTTTAAAGATCCTATATTGTTCTCTTGTAAGAAGTAATTTGGAGCACGCATCTCAAATCAAACGCATCAAAAATATATGTTGCATACCTGGAACCCCAGGTATGCAACATATATTACCCGACTTGAAAATATCCAAAGTAAGTTTATGCGTTACCTCTGTTATAGAACCAATGACTATCGCTATACCTCAGATAATTATATTTGTTATTGTAAAAAACATCACCTTCTTCCTCTTGCTATGCGTCGTGAGATTGCTGACCTCACTTTTCTGTTAAAAATAGCTTGTAGTGCTATTGACTGTCCTGAGCTTTTATCTCAACTACATGTTAGCTGTCCTGCCAAACCTCTTAGATACAACAAAATTTTAAGTCTCCCGTTTTCATCTACAAATTATAGGCAAAATACATTTATATGGCGAGCGAGCAATAATTTCAATAAGCTAGCCAATGAGTTTGACTTCGATTTGTTTAACACTAGTGCTGCGTCAGCTAGGCGCATACTTAACAATGCATTTTTTGGTAGCTCTAAGTGAGATATTGATGCGTTGCTACACAACTATGATTTACTTTTGTATTTGTGTTTATTTTTCTCTTAAAATAGCTTTTAGTGTTATTGACTGTCGTAAGTATGAGTTGATTGTCTTTTATATGTATAATACAAGTTTAGCTCTCATTTGGCATAAATATGTTGTATTGGATACTTTCGAGTGTTAAATCGTATTTATCACCGTTGTAAATTCACTTTTGTATCTATTAGTGAGGATCTTTAATTGGCTTACTGTTGTTATTAATACTATCTATCCTAATTATGATAGCTGTTGGTATTCCAAATAAAATAAAATAAAAATAAAATAAATAATAAAACAAATAAATATTGCATTACATTAGTCATTTCACTTTATCAGTCCAAATGGTATATCTCCTGCCACTCATTTTTATCACATAATTATCCATTTTCATTAAGAATAACACTAGGAATTACTTTTTTTTCTCACAAAAATAGTCAAAACATAAGCGTACTGGTAATTTGCTCAGTACTAAATAATGCAATAACATGTCAGGTGTCGCGGGGGAGCGAGAGGCAGGGTCGTTGCTATTCCCCCGCACTTTACGGTAACAAGTTTCGAAATAAATTGATTATGTACCTAGATGATTATGCCGATTAAAGTTCGGCCGAATATTCGTATTCGGTGAAATCCATATTCGGCCCATCTCTTTTATATAGTGTTTCCTTTATTCTTTTCTTTTTTTACTTCAAATTTTTATTTCATTATGTATTATTGAAACATTGTATTTTATATATCATTCATACGGATATTTATTTACGAAGTTTATAAGCATGATTATATATATATATATATATATATATATATATATATATATATATATATATACGTTTGATTGTATTATTGTACCGTATATTTATGCTATATGTGGGTATATTTAAATCGTGTATGTATATACTTTGTATATATATTTTAATATATGTACACTTTATTTATGTATTATGTTCGCACCTGCCAACAATTGTCCTTGGCACCCAGGGTTGACTGGCAGAGAATGCCACATGGCATTAAGTCCGCCCTATGTACCCTTTAGCTTAAGGTGTTACATTTAAGTTTTAAATAAATAAATAAAAATAAATATCGGCCAGTTCTGTACAATATTTGCCTTTGGAACTCCTTGCCCGATGATATCAGAAAAGCATCCAATAAGTAGGTAAGCTTTTGAAAAGTTGGTCCGTGAACATCTATTACAGAAAACGCATTTTACATGACTCATCCATTTAATATGTATAGCTAAACAGAGGTATATACTCGTAATCATTTGTATGTACTAATTATGTATGAATTTGTATATTTGTATATATGTATGAATAGATGGAATGGATAGATATATGTATGTATAGTTTATTAGTAAAATGTGAAAATTATGTAGTTAATTATCATTTGTTTTGTGTTCTTTTATATTCCATATTGTCACTCCATGGGTTGATTGGTAAATAATGCCTTAAGGCATTAACCTAAGTTGTTTTAAGTAATGCAATAAGGAATTAATAAAATAAAATGAATATTAATGTTCTTACAAAAAGTCGTTTACAATCAGTCTCAGACTTAGTCTTAATGCTTAAGGACGCGTTTGCAAATCAACCAAAATTAGGGTGTTTTTCGGTAGATTTTGTGACAAAACTAAACCAAATCAAATATAAGTAAAAACTACCATGTATAGATTGGTTCTTCATCTGCAAATGTCTGTAACTCTTTTGTTGAAAATAGTAGTTTTTTATATTGTAAAAACGAACTTTCGTTGCCATTTTCTACAAAATTAACGATACCGGCTTGTGTTTCGGTAGATGTTTTGGTCTATTATCAACATATTTAAAAATTTAAAAAATACTATAAGATGACAGACATATTCAATTAAAAAAACCCTGGGTTTATTTTTTAACAAAATGTCACAAATAGTCGTAAAAAAAATAAAAACTGATGCACATTTTTTCACATATTTTGGTAATATGGATGAATCATAATGTATTGCAATAAGGGCTATTTTATTGTTGGTGCCTGCTTTGATTTATTGTACAAAGATTTCGATGAAACCACAGTCCGCGCTCGGCCGCCGTCGTGAGTGGACACTGTATCGCCTGTTTGCAGCGGCTCATTCTGAAAAGATCGCTGTACATACACAAAATATTAGAAAAAAACAAATTGGAAACATAAGTACTTGACAAGTGATAAAATTATTATTTTTATACTCACAGTTTTTATTTAGCTAAAAATAAGTAGGATATATAAACTTACCTACTACTGCAACTCGTGGACGAGCGGAACTAGGTGTGCCGAGTTTGGGCTCGTTTTGTTGGTTATGATGAGACCTTACCTCTGGACTTGATGGCATGACCTGAAGGTGTACTTTCGTGACCGCTATTTGAACTTCTTGCAGAGTAAAACTAGGGGTGACGAATTTGGGCTCCGTTTTGTTAGTTATGACGAGTCTATACCTCTGGACTTGATGGAGTGACCTGAAGGTCTAAATCGGTGATTGCAACTGGAACTCCTAGACTGGTAGAACTAGGTGTGCCGAGTTTGGGTTCGTTTTGTTAGTTACGATGAGACCTTACCACCGGACTTGATAGAGTGACCTGAAGGGGTAATTCAGTAACTACTGCTGGAATTTCTGAACGAGTAGAACTAGGTGTGCCGAATTTGGGCTTCGTTTTGTTAGTTATGACGAGTCCATACCTCCGGACTTGATGGAGTGACCTGAAGGTGTAGTTCAGTGATTACAAGTGGAACTCCTAGACTTGTAGAACTAGGTGTGCCGAGTTTGGGTTCGTTTTGTTAGTTACGATGAGACCTTACCACCGGACTTGATTGAGTGACCTGAAGGTGTAATCAGGTGGTTACAAATGGAATTCCTAGACTAGTAGAACTAGGTGTGACGAGTTTGGGTTGGAATTTAGCCACAGGCCACAGCTGAATTAATAAATGATTTCTTAAGAAAATTTAATAAAAGTTGTAAAAATCCAAAATAAAACCTGGAAAGGCTGTGAGAGGAAGCGCTGGATCTTCCTCGCGCGGGCCACCGTTAATTTGTCCTCTTCGGAGAGTTCATCCATGCCTAAAATGGCGATAATATCTTGCAAGGACTTGTAGTCCTATAATGAATAGAAAGTCTTATTTTAATCTATACATACATATAAATAACAGCGTAATTTAAGTTTATAATGATTATAATTAACAATTTACGTGGTAGGGCCACGCCGCAGCTATATTATGATTGAAGCACGATTGGGTCGTAGATATGAGCGCCGATGGCCAATTCCACGGCGGCGGCGTGGCCTGATAATTTCCACAGCGGCGGCGGCGTCGCGGCGGCGCGTCGTGGCCGGCTGTGGGCCTTAGACATTTTTTTTATCAGGGAGAGATTTCTCTAAAAAACCATATTGTAATTACCTAAAAAATGCTTTTTATTTTTAATAAAGGAACTTATTTGTTAATTACAATTTTACAATCTTTTTAATAATTGGAGATCACGGTTACTGAAAAATAATCTTTTCAGTATTTTCATTTGAAGAAAAACTGAGCGTTTTCAACCACAGCACTATCATCAATCTTTATTATAAAAATTAAAAAGAAATATTTATCATATAATATATCCAATAACACTGACAAAATATGTATTTATTAATCTATAAAACAATCATATATTAATTATAAGTATGTATGTATTTAAAGTAGTATAATGTATTTATAATTAGTTGGATAATTTCACATGTTCTTTCAGATACATTTACAGATGAAATAATCATTTAAGTGAATTTTGTTGGCGCTTGATACTTTCAAGGCTCAATCAAATACAGAAAAAATAAAATATCAAAATAACAATAACAACAGCACAAAAACATAAAAAAGGAATTATGCATATCAATGTCCAAAAACACCGTATATTCCTTTAAGGATTCTTTGCAAAATACATAATTGTCATGGATAATTACTATCTTATTTAGCCTCAAAGGATTTAGTAGTGAACGTTTTGGGGTTATCACGAGTCCAGTTGTGGAAAATACTCTCGCTCGGCGTGCGGGTGGCTGGTATATTCAAAATTGAGCGTGCACGAGCATACAGTGATGACATAGAAGTTTTCCTGTCTTTCCAGTACTGTAGAACATCTCCACCGTAAGGCTCTAAATCTTCAGGACATGCTGTACTGAAATATTTCCAGCATTCATTTTCTACAGCACTCCCGGAATCACGTTGAGTGGTGCTGTGTTTTCGCGCCAAATCCAGTAAAAAGTTTGATGAACTAGCAGAAGAATTCGGCCCAGCTTTAGCGGAATCAATAACTTCATTTTGACGAATATCTTCTGTTGTCAAGCGACTTCTTACCATTGTTGATATGAATGAAACCTTAGTGACTTCTCTTTTTTGCATGAATTCATCAATTTCATGAATGGCATGAAATCTACAATCAAGCAAAGTTGCCGCAACGACCACATCGGTTAAAAGAAATCGGGATTCCAGACCTTCGAGCATGTTATTTTTGAGCCTAGCTATTACGAGAGGCTCATCATCATTTGCTTCTTCAAGCAATCTTTTCACTTCTGACCGAAATACTAGAACCAGATTCATAGTAGGTTGGGTTTCTGAACTTAGAATATCAACGATTTTCTTAAAATTCTCTAGAAACTTTATCAGAGCCTGAATGGCTTCGTTATCGGTATCTTGTAATGCGAGATCACCTCGTCCTATTTCGTTGAGAAGTGTGTTTATAGGCTGTCGATTTGCGTCATTATAAATGCTTTTCAGCATCATCAAAATGCTATGTCATCTTGTGCTTGTGCTCGTTTTAATAGTCGGAGGGGGCTGCAAACACTGTCTAGAACTTGAATCTCTTTCAGGTGTCTCAGTTGTTTCGGATTCAGAGTCGGTTGAGTCGGATTTTCCAGATGTTCGGCGAATTCTTTAAATTCTTCAATAGAAGAAAGCATCTTAGAAGCCAAACGAGCGTAGCAGAGAAAGCAAGTTGCGAATCGTCACGACGGCGCGCCGCGTGCTTTACTCAGCGACGACGCGTCGACATGAACTTAAGGCGACGGCGGCGCGCCGGCGCGGCGCTCATATCTATTGGGTCGGGCCACGTTCTCACAGAATAACAGCGTAAAATAGCAGCGTAAAATAGCAGCCTAATGCTGCTGTGTTTCGTATTTTTTACGTCGTAGAGCCATGCTGCAGTTATATCAGTAGTATAGTTGTAGCACGAATGGGTCGGCTCGACCGGGGAAGGACGACGCTCTCACAGAATACTAGCGTAAAATTGCTGCTGCTGTTTCGTATGGTGAGTGTAGTGAACCGGAGACCCTTGTTACTGCAAACGAGGCTTTCTATCTTAGTCCTCACGGGTAACAACGCATCTGCATTTTGATTCGTAATCGAGGATAGATGTAGATGTCTATGGGCCGCAGCAACCACTTACCGTCAGGTAGACTGTGTGCTCGTTTGTCACCTTTATTTTATAAAGAAATCTAATGTACCTAATATATTATGTAGAATAACATGTAAATAAGTTTCAAACTTGGTAATATTACTATAATAAATAAATCCTAAAAAAATTACTTCTGATATGAAAAAGTAACTTTAACAGAAAGAGACGAATGCACTCTGCATCTCTTTCTATTAAAGTTATTTTCTGAAGGTTTCATTTCTTACGCCTGTTAATTTTTCATTGCTATAGGTCTCATGTTAATGTGAGAATTATTATAAAAATGTGAAAACTGCGGTACTTGCATATCGTTAAAAGCGACTAATAGAATATTGGGTTTGTAATTGTGGAGGCCGATGGACAATTGTTTCACAAATTTCAATCTATACCCATATTTTTTGGCTGAACGTGGACCGAGTGGCCCGTTGCTCTTTGGACTCTGCTTACCCTCTCTTCGATTACAGCGTGACGTATATTTAATTTAAGTATTAAAGTAGAATAGCACGGAGACTTGCGTCTCAACCAAGTAGGTCAAAAAATTACTTTCTTTCTTAATGCTTCAGACACCATCTGCTATCTATATAATGTTATCTACTAGAATAAAAAGTATTTTTTTTCTTTTTGAATGATTTCATTTCATCTTCTCGTGTATAATATTGTAATATTAACAGCATCAAAAATTGTGAAAAAGTTTAAAGTTAAAGTTTAACGATTTTTTCTAAATTGTATATTGACGGCTTGATAACGTCTGCAGTCCCTGAACATGTTCAAGATCGTCACCGCCATTACACCAGATTTGATAGACCACACAAATGCTTGCTTACTCCCTTATACTCCCTTTACTTATACTCCCTTCCTCCTACCAAGAGAGTATAAAATTAAAATTTAAGAAATCATTATAAGCGAGGCTATTGAAATTATTTTTTTTTTAATTTCAATAGCCTCACTTATGTCCTAATCTCAACAGTCAACAATCTCATCTTATATCCTAATTTCAACAGAGGAGATGGATGGGGGCTGCCAATTCTTGGGATCCTATAATTAACAAAATTAAATCTAAACCTAAGCATAACACTGCAAGACTTCAAGATACTCTAAGCTTTGTTCTGCGTAGATTGGACTAAAAATTATTATAGGTAGCGGGGCTAACTATTAAATCGGAACGTCAAACATCTATATCCGGAGACCCTTTTTACTGGAAAAGAGGCATTCCATCTTAGTCCTCACGGGTGACAACCGTCTGATTGATTGTAACAGGATAGATGTAGATGTCTATGGGCCGCAGCAACCACTTACCATCACGTGGACTGTGCTCGTTTGTCACCCTATCCTAAATAAAAAAATATCTCAATGCCCCACGGGACCATGGGTGTTGTAAAGCACCCGAAAGATCAGAAATTAAAAAAAAAGTTGATTAATTACGATAAAATCCGTAAAAAAATCGGTTCATTCAATGTGTAGTGTTTGACTAAATATAAGAAATCATTACTTGTTAATTACTTCTTATAAACTGTTCAGGGTTTTGATGTTTATCCATGTGCAATTTATGTGCGCGAAACTTCTCTACCATACAGGGACGCTTCTAGCATACCCTACCCTGACTACTGTTGATAAACTATATAAAAAAAGTCATAATCACCTAAGACAGGCATAGGTTTGATTACGTGAAGGGTACCGATGTATCTGCGAGTAATTTAAAACAATACGAACGTATGTACGTACAAATCGCGGCACGTCATTCTAGCGCTGAACGAAACGTGGAGGGGATAGCTGCGAATGTCGTATCATTAAGTGGGACGGAATGCGTCTGGAGAGGCAATAAGCGCGTGCGAACGATACGCACAGCCAATCACAATAATGCGCAATCGGCAAATTATGCGCAATAACGGTCACCGCTAGACTTTCGTGCCGCGAGTTGTACTATGTAGTGGCGGTGTAAGAATATCCACTACCCCATATCATCCCGTGGGTGTTGTAACAGGCGACAGAGGGGAACAAATCAGGAGATGGGCAGCAGCGTCTTTCTAATGACGAGTGAAAATGAAATACTGCGGTTGCCAACTCGTCTGCCAAACGTGGCAACTATGGCAAATATTCTCTATAGGAGGTAATCTATAAAAACGGCCGTCGTTGACTTTTGATACGGTGTAATAAATTAATAGATTTCACCTGTAAAATTTTCTGGACGCCTCGCGCTACATTGTAATGCTCCTGTCCGATGATATTAGGGTCCATGACCCTAGATGTAGAGTCGAGCGGGTCCACGGCTGGGTAGACGCCCAGCTCGGCGATGGCTCGCGACAGCACCGTGGTGGCGTCCAGATGTGCAAACGTGGTCGCCGGGGCCGGGTCGGTTAGGTCATCCGCCGGGACGTAAACTGCCTAAGTTTTGAAGTGAAAACTTCTATAGAATTGTTGTGATGAAACGCAAAAGCGACACTAAAACGAGATAAATATATACATCTATAGGATTTAACCTACGAAAGAATGAGATAGAATACAGTATACAGTGTTTCATAATACCTCTGTCTCCTTTTCAAGGTTTCATTTCTACCGTGTGCGAACTGCATACGTTTTTTTAAATATTAATAATAATAAACATTTATTTATTACCACCGATAAAATAACGACGAGAAGTGTTATACACAGAAATAAGCAATGTCACATAGTGTAATAATGAATGGACTCTAGCCTAGTATCAATGTTAACAGACTAATGTCCGGGCTTATTTTCTAAAATTGTTTCACAAATATAGAATAATAGTGGCCAACGAGCACACAGTCTGCCTGATGGTAAGTGAGTGCTGTGGCCCATAGACATCGACATTTATCTTCGATTAACAATCAAAATGCAGATGCGTTGTCACCTCTGAGGACTAAGATGGAATGCCTCGTTTCCAGTAAAAAGGGTCTCCGGTTCTCTAAACTGACCATACGAAACACAGCAGTTATAAGACGACCCATTCGTGCTACAATCATAATATAAATAGCTGCAGCGTGGCGTAATAGTCTTTTTTACGTGATTGGTTACTGGTTTACTTTAATCAGTATATTATGTATCTATATCATATTTTCTTTTCTTTTCTTTTATTATAGTATATATACATATATTATCATCATTACAGCCCTTCACAAGTCCTCAGCTGAACATAGGCCTCCCCCAAGGAATACCACAAAGCACGGTCCTGAGCCACCTGCAACCATCGATTTCCTGCATGTCTTACCAGGTCGTCACTCCATCTACTTTACGAACCGCAGTAAAACAATAAATTTAGTAGGCATCTTTGACCTTGTCACTTCGCAGGGCCACAAGCTGGGGTGGACATGATTCTCTAAGTAATTAATTTATTTAATTCAATATTTTTGTAAAATATCAGTACCATAGGGTTTTACCATAGAATACTACAGTACATACATAATAGAACGGGGGAGTGGGCGGAGCCCATGTAGCCACTAAAATGTCACTAACACGTCAATTCATAGGTATAAATGTCAACACGAGATGTGTTTTGACGTTACAGTCGTTTCCGAATTTCGCATGCAAATTATTTAAAAAAATGCCAAAATGCTCCCTATGTACAAATAAATATGTATTAAAAATTTAAACGATTTTTTTTCAATGATGATCTTGAACATTAATCAAAAGTCTAAAATGTGTAAATTTATTCAGCCTGTCAACATAACGAATCGGTTTGGCGACGCCAAACCTCGTACAAAATAAAGTTGACAGCCATTCTATTGTGTATTATAGTATTCTATGGGTTCTACTCGGTTCACATGTAACACCCTATTTTTTTCCAGATGGTAAAAATGGTTATATTACAAATGTATTTCATATATATATATACATACATATATATATTGTGCCGTGTAGTGGCGGTTGAGAATATCCACTACCCCATATCTTTCCGTGGGTGTCGTAAGAGGCGGCAGAGGGACACAGAAAGGAGATGGGCAGCAGCATCTTCCTAATAACAACAATAACATAATAAAAAACTGCGGTTGCCAACCCGCTCGCCAAGCGTGGCAACTATGGCAAATATCCCCCCATGAGAAACAACGACGCAAACAAACGGCCCCCAGTCCCCGGCGGCACCGCTATTCCTGGATACGGTGGCGACCATGGTAACGGCGGGGCAGGGGGTGCTAAGAATCTCCAGTGGAGGTTCGGTTGCCACCTACGACGACTCGACTTGGCAACGTATAACGCACGCACCCTGAGTACTGACGAGAAGATACTGGAGCTGGAAGAAGAGGTAGACAAGTTGCGCTGGCATATTATTGGATTATCTGAGGTCCGAAGAGAGGGGGAGGACACGGTAATCTTCGAGTCCGGAAACTTGTTCTATCACCGGTAGGGCGACCATCTGTCCCAAGGAGGTGTCGGATTTATCGTCCACAAGTCTCTCGTCCACAACGTTGTAAAGATTGGGAGTGTGTCGACGAGGGTCGCGTACCTGATACTCAGAATCACCAAACGGTATTCGCTGAAGGTCATACAGGTCTACGCACCAACCTCGGCACATCCCGATGAGGAGGTGGAGGAAATGTATGAGTATATTTCTAGAGCCATGCATTCCTCCAAAACCCACACGGTTTTGATGGGAGACTTCAACGCAAAACTAGGCACAAGAGAAGGCGGTGAGCTTAAGTTAGCGAAATTTGGAGTAGGGCAACGGAACCGTAGGGGCCAGCAGCTGGCTGACTTTATGGAGAAAGAGGGACTCTTTATGAGAAACTCTTTCTTCCAGAAGCGGCCCCACAGGAAGTGGACCTGGTCGAGCCCCGACGGTTCGACGAAAAATGAGATTGACTTCATTATGACGACCAGACGCCAACTGTTCAGTGATGTCTCAGTGATCGCAAGGGTGAAAACCGGCAGCGATCACCGAATGGTTAGTGGCACACTGAACCTAAACGTTAAGTTGGAGAGATCTCGTCTAATTAAGTCAACGCTCCGTCCCCCTCGTGCTCCCGTCACATGCAGAATCCCGAAACCTTTCAGCTCGAGTTACGTAACCGCTTTCAGTGCCTAGAATATTGCAATGCAGTGGACGATATGAATGACAAGCTCGTGGAAACTGTCCATGCGGTCGGAGCTAAGTTTTGCAAGACCCGCTGCAGAAGAACACAAAAACTCTCCGATCACACTCTTAATCTCATGGCTGTTAGACAGGAGATGAGGCTGCAATCGTCAACAGATTTGACAGCATACAGGCAACTGAACAGACAGATCTCCAAATGCATGCGGCGAGACTTACGCAACTTTAATACAAGCCGGTTTCCGAAAAGGCTTCAGTACCATAGACCATATACATACCCTGCGGCAGATTGTACAGATGACCGAAAAGTACAATCTGCCACTTTGCCTGGCGTATGTGGACTATGAGAAATCCTTTGATTCGAAAATTTTGAAATTTGGGCGGTGCTACAGTCCCTTCAGCAGTGCCAAGTTGACTGTCGGTATATCGAAGTGCTGAAGTGTTTGTACAGTAGGGCTATCCGAGTACAGAACCAGAGTTCGAAACCTATCCAACTGCAGAGAGGTGTAAGACAGGGTGACGTTATATCCCCGAAACTCTTCACCGCTGCTTTGGAAGACGTTTTCAAGCTACTGGACTGGAAAGGATACGGTATTAACATCAATGTAGTCCTTATGGCAGAATCGCTGGAGGACTTTAGAACTATGCTCAATGACCTCAATAGTGTCTCCCAACGGATAGGTCTTAAGATGAACATGGACAAAACAAAGATCATGTTTAATGTCCATGTCACACCTATGCCGGTAGTTGTTGGGAGCACTATGCTCGAAGTTGTTGACGAGTACGTTTACCTGGGACAAATAGTCCGACTAGGTAAGTCCAACTTCGACCGAGAGGTCAATCGACGGATTCAACTCGGCTGGGCAGCGTTCGGGAAATTACGACACATCTTCTCGTCAGGTATACCTCAATCTCTAAAAACTAAAGTGTACAACCAGTGCGTGTTGCCAGTGATGACTTACGGATCTGAGACGTGGTCCTTCACTGCTGGCCGTATGAGGACGCTCAAGGTCGCTCAGCGAGCTATGGAGAGGGCTATGCTCGGAGTTTCTCTGCGTGATAGACTCAGAAATGAGGATATCCGCAGTAAAACCAGAGTGACCGACATAGCCCAACGGATTAGTAAGCTGAAGTGGCAATGGGCCGTCCATATAGCTCGAAGAACCGATAACCGATGGGGAAGAAAGGTTCTCGAGTGGCAGCCTCGTACCAGTAGGCGTAGTGTAGGGCGGCGACCCCCCACTAGATGGAGTGACGACCTGGTAAGACATGCAGGAAGTCGATGGATGCAGGTGGCTCAGGACCGTGCTTTGTGGCGTTTACTTGGGGGAGGCCTACGTTCAGCAGTGGACTTGTGAAGGGCTGTAATGATGATGATGAATGATATATATATATATATATATATATATAATAAAAAAAAAATATATATATATATATATATATATATATATGGAGATTTTAGTTTCTGTTTACCATGCTTTTACTATTTCTGTTATCAAGCAGCAGTGCCTGTAATGCTGTATTCCTGTCTGAAAGGTATAAAGAGCCGGTATAACTACAGGCTGTGAGGCATTCCATCTTAGTCCTCAAGGTTAACAACATATCTGTAGACTTCTTTGCTTAAAGTTGGCAGCAGAGCTCTATGGACTGCAGTAGCCCTTTACCATGAGGTGATATGTAACTTCATTTGTTCCTTATTTTATTTAAAAAAATACACGCCCTTTTCTCGAATCTAGGACCTGCGACTCAGTAGCTATACAATATTATACGTAAGGTAAACGTCTGGCTGAAAACTTATTATCGTCCCCTATGTCTTATAATTCTATTCGTGGCATAAATAATATTAAATGTCCCTCTTCATGCAATTCTTTAGTTCTTTTAGCAACAGATACAGCAGAAATTAATACAATCATCTGTAACTTATCTAATGACTCCGCCCCCGGGTGGGATAACGTTCCTACTACTTTTATTAAAATGGCCAAAAATATCACCCCCGTCCTTTGTCATGTGTATAACCTCTGTTTCGACAAAGGCTGTTTCCCCTCTGTTTTCAAAAAAGCTATTGTTACACCCATCTATAAAAGTGGAAATAAAGATGAAATTGAAAATTATAGGCCTATCTCTGTACTTACAGTTCTGGCAAAAATTTTGGAAAAGCTCATTAACAACCGCATTAACGAATTCCTTTACAAAAACAGGTTGCTATCAAATAATCAATTTGGCTTCAGAAATGGCGTCTCCACTGAAGACGCAGTTCTGGCACTTTCCGACACTATCTGTAAGCACCTAGATGCAGGCTATAAATGTGTCGGCGTCTTCCTGGATCTTGCAAAGGCGTTCGACTCTGTTTCAATTCCAATATTATTACATAAGCTTTATCATATTGGCATAAGAGGGACACCCCAAAGCTATTCACAGACTACCTAACGATCGCCTACAGCATCTAAAACTTGGTGACGTTATCAGCCAGTCATCTCCCATTACTTACGGCGTTCCACAAGGCAGTGTACTCGGACCGACATTGTTTTTGATATATGTGAATGACCTCTGTAGTCTCAAACTTCCCAATTGCGATATATTTACCTATGCGGATGATACCGCGCTGATTTTCAGTGAAAAGAGTTGGGATTCTCTTAGAATTACGACTGAATCAGGATTACGACATATATCAAATTACTTAAGATCACATCTATTAACACTTAATGTATCAAAAACCCAATTTGTTCCTTTTACGATACGAAAATCTACCTTACCACACTCGGACCTTGCTCTCAAAATTCATAGCTGCTCCCAACACCAGGCGAAAAATTGTCAATGTGTTGATATTGCTAGATCGTCTACTATTAAATATCTAGGTATCACTATTGACCAGCATCTTATATGGAACAAACAAATTGAGTGTACCATTGACAAGGTAAGAAAGCTTATGTGGGTTTTTAGAAGGCTCAGACATGTCGCAGATAATAAAATCCTTATATGTACGTATAAAGCACTAGCCCAATCTGTCTTAAGCTACTGCACTACAGCGTGGGGTGGAGCAGCTAAGTTCTATTTAATAACTCTTGAAAGGGCTCAGAGAGCATTACTGAAAGTGATGTTCTTTAAACCAATCCGTTTCCCAACTCATGAACTACACAATTCTTACGAAATCTTAACAACCCGCCAAATGTACATTTTAAAGAGTGCCATTCGAACCAGTCCATACACCCCTCAGACACTAAAACGTAGAATTTTACCTGTTTTCAATATTCCATATTGTAAAACCAAATTTAAGAAAAAACAATTTGCCTATCAATCAAAACATCTATATAATAAATTAAATAGTAGGCTTAACATGTATCCCCTCACTTGTGCTAAATTAAAAAAAATTGCTAACAACTACTCTGCTTAGCCTCAACTATGAAGAAACAGAACTGCTTATTCGCTAAAAAACACACACAACACACACACACACACACACACACACACACACACACGCACACACACACACACACACACACACACACACACACACACACACACACACACTTTCACTCTTTCTTAAGTATCAAAAATGTCATCAATTCATGTCTTAAGGATTGTTAAAGCACTAATATAATATGTAATACCCTATGTTTCAAATTGTTAAAATTTAACTGTTGGAAGAGCGGGGTACCCCGTAACACAGGTTTTACCAACCCAGTACAGGGGCCCTTGCCACTTGTTTGTTACTACCTTTTGAAACGCAATAAACAATTTTTAATTTTTAATTTTAATTTTAATTTTAATTTTATACGTACCTGGACACTGGTGATGGATCCGGCCTTCGTGGTAGTGATACGCTCCTGCATGGTGCCCATGTCAGTGGCTAGGGTGGGTTGATAGCCCACAGCCGAAGGTATGCGACCCAGTAAAGCGGACACCTGGTGCAATTTATTTAACGTATCGTTTTTTTATGTCCATCCATCTATCACTGCCTGTAAACGTCCACTGCTGAACGTAGGCATTCCTCATAAATTGCATTATTTGCCACAGTTACCACGATTGGCAATGTTTTCTCAATGTCAAGTGTTTCAGACCTTGTGTGCATAAATACAGCCTCTCAGGAGCATGACTGTAATTCCAAGGTCCAACTAAGGCCATACAAGTAGCATATCATTAGATAATGATAATTAGATAAAAATAATAAATACAGAAACTGCAAAAATAGCAAGAAATAAGCGGGCACAAAGTAAATACGTAGTAAATTGTTTTAAATGAAACTAGTTTTTACGGATGTTATCGCGTATATTAAGCGTCATATCGCGTCGTGTCGTCCCAATGTCATAGTTAACCATGGCAACTACAGTTTTTTTATTATTCTAAATTATAAGGAAGATGCTGCTGCCCTTCTCTTGTTTGTTCATGCAGCCCATCTCTTTTGTTCATTTTTTCTCTGACGACACTCTTGGAACGATATGGGGTAGTGAATATTCTTACACCACCACCGTATTTTTTATCTACATCTATATTTTATTTATTTATCGACTCGCTTGATAGTTAGTGTTTACCGCCGCCCACGAAAAAACACCTGCAATTGCAGGTGCGTTGTCGGCCTTTTACAGAGGAGTAAGCTCGTTTCTTGAAGGTCTCTAAGTCGTATCGGTCCAGAAACATCTCCGGTGTTAAATGATTTCACAAAGTAGTCGTGTAAGGAAGAAAACTCTCTAGTAAATCGCACGGTAGTGGACTGCTAAATATCTAGATGATGTGGATGGTAATGTGAGATATCATAAGTTAGTAAATTATGAATTTGGCGGCTATATGCTCGAAGAATCGATGTGGAAGAAAGCTTGTTGAGAGGCAACCATATAAGCGAAGTGTTGGGCGGAATGCAGGTGGCACAATCCATCTGACGGCAAGTCGATGCTGTGGCCCAATTATGTATCGACATCTATCCTCGATTATGAATCAAAATGCAGATTGTCAAGTTTCAGGTAACAAGTGTCTCCGGTTCTCTAACACTCATCATACGAAACACAAAAGCTTAATGCTGGTATTATGTGAGAGCCTGGTCCTTTCCCGGTCTTGCTGACCTATTCGTGCTACAACTATACTATTAATATAGTTACAGCGTAATTCTACCACGTAGATCGCTCCACCTGAAATAACAACCGTTACTGTTACAGCTTATTAAAGTCCGCTGCTGAACACAGGCCTCCCCCATAGATTGCCTTATATTTGCCATAGCTGCCACACTTGGCAAGCGCGTTGGTGACGGCAGTCTTTTGTGTTTAGTCGTTATCAGGAAGACGCTGCTGCCCATCTCCTGATATGTTTCCCTCTGTCGCTACATACGACACCCGCGGTGATATGGCGTAGTGGATATACTTACACCGCCACTACATGGTTACCTGGAACAGTAAACACCAAAACTATTGTAGTATTGAAAGCTATGGTAGTAGGTACCTCGGAGCCGGCCTGCGTGAACCGGAAGATGTTGTCGATGAAGAGCAGCACGTCCTGCCCCTCCTTGTCGCGGAAGTGCTCGGCCACCGTGAGCCCGGTGAGCGCCACGCGCGCGCGCGCGCCCGGCGGCTCGTTCATCTGCCCGTACACCAGCGACACCTGGAAGAAAGCTCAAGGTCGCTATGCTCGGGGTTACCTTGCGTAAAGTAAAGTAAAGTTACAGCCTATATACGTCCCACTACTGGGCACAAGCCTCCCCTCATTTCTGAGAGGGTTTTAGGGCAAGGAAGTGTCCGCCGCGCTGCCCCAATGCGTGTTAGCGAACTTAACATGTCTTCGAAGTATTTTTTTTCTTATTCCTCAGAAATGCAGGTTTCCTCACGATGTTTTCCTTCACCGCCGAGCACGTGGTAAATCAGCACTTAAAATTGCATTTAACAATTTCATTGGTGCCGGCGGGGATCGAACCGTTACTCGCGTTCTGTTATATTTACAGCAAGCGTTAACCATCTGAAAGCTACCACGGCTCTTTACCTTGCGTGATGGACTAAAAATGAGGATATCCGCAGACAAACAAAAGTAACCGACGTAGCCCAAAAGATTAGTAAGCTGAAGTGACAATGGCCAGCCATATAGCTCGAAAAACCGATAACCTATAGGGAAGAAAGGTTCTCGAGTAGCAGCCTCGTACCGGCAGGCGAAGTGTAGGGAGTCCCTCCACTAGACGGAGTGACGATCCGGTAAGACACGCAGGAAGTCGATGATAGCACGTGACTCAGACTGTGCTTTGAGACATTCCTTGGTGGAGGCCTATGTTCAGCAGTGAACTTGTGTAGGGGTGTAATGATGAATGAAGTCCACTGTTAAACATAGACCTCCCCCATAGATTGCTTCGTAGGGGGATTTAGATGAATCAAAATGCAAATGTGTTGTCTCTTCTGAGAACTAAAACTGAATACCTCGTTTCTATTAAAATGAGTTTCCTATTTGTCTATACCTACTCAAATACGAAACAGCAACAAGACCCCATACTATCCCGTGAGTATCGTAAAATACGACAGAGAGAGAGAGAGAGAGAGAGAGAGAAGAGAGAGAGAGAGAGAGAGCGAGTATCTTCCTGATACTCAAAACAATAAAAATTTGCTGTTTGCTAAACCATTTGCAACTACTAACTAACAAGAGAGGAAACTATGACATGACATGAATATGAAATAGTCCTTCAACGTTCACCAGTAGACTATTGACTGGCTGTGTTTAATGATTGAATGATGGATAATATCTTAAGAGAGCAGAGATAAAAGCGGGTAATACTCGTACGTTCGTAACCGATTTACTGGTAGTTGTGATCCAGCGATAAAAGTGAAGGCAGACCGCGGTAATGCCACAGTTATATCACTGTACTACTTTACGTGGTAGAGTCACGCTGCAGCTATAATAGTTATAGCACGAATGGGTCGGTTCTACCGGGGTAGCACCACGCTCTCACAGAATACCAGCGTAAAATATCAGTTTAAGGCTATTGTAGAGACCCGGTAACCCTTTTTACTGGAAACGAGGTATACCGCTTTAGTCCACAGGGGTATCAACGCATTTGTATTTTGATTATTAATCGAGGATAAATGTACATATCTATGGGCTAGAGCGCTAGAGCATCCACTTACCATTAGATGGAGTGTGTGCTCGTTTGGCAGTGAATCTAAAAAAAAAATCGTAGCAGTGCCCTCTGTGTATGTTCTGTGACACAAACCTAGAGGCGATTAAACAAGCACAGTCAAAGGATAATTTGGCGTAATATAGCGGCTTAATTTAAGTAGATTCCATAACGAAATTTTCACGATATATTTTTAATTATACAACGATAGTGCGAAATTCCTCATTATTCGACTACCTTTTTGTTGTAAGATATCAGATGAAGCTTCCATGAACTTTATTTGGTACAAATAAGTATTACGCATACAGATATACGGATTAATGAATATACATATTTAATTTTAGTAAGTCATAGACTAAGTGAATTCAACGACGTCAACAACGTCTTTGGAATAGAGAATCGGCAACAATCTAGTAAAAGAAAGAAGGTAGGGAATAAATAATATAGCATATTTTGTATCATTTTATGTTTTAAACTTCAGATATAAGAATTTCTTTCCTATTTTAGGGCCCTCTCTATGCTAGCAATTAGTCCGACAGTAAAATAGTATCTGTTAAATGTTTACGAATTACAATCAGTTAAATAATGCATACCACGCATTCTGAATTTTAAAAATAAAAAGGACAGAATGTTTGAGATTTTTTTTTAATTTTTCTTCATTATTCACCTATATCACTTATGCTGAACCTTGTCTGCAAATTGGCCGTATATTGCAAAATAACCCGTGGCGTATTCATTACATCCCTTTAGTTATATTTACTAGTAAGCATACGTAGAATAAAGTACAAATGGGTTGATCAGTCCGGGGAAGGACACCTTCACGCAAACTCACTTCAGAACAAAAAGGGGCTCGAGTTGATGTATGTCAGTTACTGACTAACCTAATATTTGAAATATCACACGATACTAAACTGAACCTATTACAATGTACCTTAGAAGTTTTGTAATCATCCGTGATGACTCCACCAATTTTCATCTCGTGGTACAAGTCATTACCTTCGCGTGTTCGCTCTCCAACGCCCGCAAACACCTAAATATTATATAAATTATTCAAACGTATATATTGATTCAAACATAATATAGTGTAGTATTCGAACTTGTAGTGGCGGTGTAAGAATATAGTGGATGTCGTAGAGGCGACAGAGGAAAACCAACAAGGAGGGCAGCAGTGTTTTTTTCTTTACTTATTACAAGCCAGCGGTAAGTGGTAATGCAGCATTAGATGGTAAATCGCATTGTCGTAGCGTAAAAAAAGCCTATTCACTGTTGTCTTGAAGACGCCCAAATTGTATTCGGACGGAAAGATAGACGCCGGCAAATTATTCCACTTTTTTGTTGTACGCATTAAAAAAGTCGAAACAAACCGTTTGGTTTTAATACGTGGAATATCGACAATAAAGGGGTGAAGACCCGCCGACCAACTGGTCGTCCGATAGTGGAATGGAGAGGGAGGAATTAAGAAAGGTAGTCTTCGTAATAAGAACTTACAAAAAAAATCGGCCAAGAGCGTGTCGGGCCACGCTCAGTGTAGGGTTCCGTAGTTTCCCGTCCGTCACGACCAGTGTTCCCACTTATGAGTTTGTACAAAAACTGTTGTTTCCATCCCAGTTCAAAATGATTTTCCTAGAAAGTCCTTATAAAGTTCTACTATCCTGATTTTTTTCATATTTTCTAAACTTACGGTTCAAAAGTTAGAGGGGGGTGGGGGACACATTGTTTTTTACTTTTGGAGCGATTATTTCCGACATTATCAAAAAATGATTTTAGTAAACCCCTATTTATTTTTCAATACCTTTCCAACAATATATCACACGTTAGGGTTGAAATTAAAAAAAAAAATCACTTCCCACTTTACATATAGGGGGGCTACCCTAATAAAACATTTTTTGTCCAATTCTTATTTTACCACTTTGTCGGCGTGATTGATACACATATTGATACCAAATTTCAGCTTTCTAGTGCGAACGGTCACAGAGATTAAGCGAGGACGGACAGACGGACAGACAGACATGGCGAAACTATAGGAGTTCCTAGTTGACTACGGAACCCTAAAAAACTGCGGTTGTAAAAGAAAGAACGATAGAAAGGGATATCTATTTGGCCATTTCATAACAAACTAGCATTAAATACTCAAAATAAACATTATGTATAGATAATCTTATAACTAGACTTAATTATACACTTACAATGAAAAATAAATAATGCGATGCTTACAATGACAGTGCGTATACGTACAAAATAACTTTAAAAAAAAAACTAATTTTATGGGAAAATGATCCAAATAGGACTGCCACTCAGGAAACGCTAAGATGTGTCATTCTAGCCCTGATCGTCAGTGGCTACCTTAAGTACATCACATATACACACACACTCATATAATATATACCAACGTATGTTGCCAACTCGCCTGCAAAGCTTGGCAACTATGGCTAGTATGCCCTGTGTTAATCCACGGGAAGGCCTATGTTCAGCTGTGGACTTATGGCATATGTAGTAGGCTGCAACGGTGGCGTAGTAATTTCCAATTGTAAACTTTTTTATCTTTCGCCAGGGGTTCTCTAAGTGTCCCCTTCGAACGGGTTCCCGTCTTGTCATGGCGGGGGGCTTAGCAGCCGTGGTTTGGTCGCCTACGTTGAGCAAAGATGAACCCACTTGTCTGACCCGAAGTGTAGGGCCGGCCCGAGGTGGCTACTTCGAGTGGGCTTGGCGAGCCTACTTCGGATGCGCGTTGGTGGACTGTGGCGGGAGGGCGTCCTTTTCCCCTTCCGTCGCAGCCAAGGAGTGGAGTCGCGGGGAAAAAGCAAGTTGGTGAAGCGATGCACACTTGCCCTATTCGCCGCGTTCAAACGGAGTCGCACCGCAAGCATGGACCCCTAGGATCTCACTTGCCATATCCGCCGCGATTCAAACGGAGTCGCACCGCTAATGCGATGGTGGTGGGGCTATAAGAGTGTCGGTATTGCAAGGCGCCGTTCTCATTCTTCTTCTGAGTGCTCATCTTTCCTGACTCCATGGCCTCCGCGTATCGCTTCCACGTGAGTTGTTTCTTATGTTTCTTTTTAAAGCTAATATTAAAAAAAATAATGGCAGCCATACCGTCATTGGGTTGGAGTAAAACTTTGTCAACTTATTGCTAGCACTTGCGCGAAGGTCATAGGAATAGTACAATAAATTCCATCAGGTGGCACGAGTAACGTATGAACAGTTTTTTTAAAGTTATATATCTAACCTAACCTAACCTTACCTTAACATTCAATTTGAATTAGTGTATTATCATTTCTAACTAAACAATATAACTTCCAATGTCAAGATTGTTTCTTCTGCGGCAGCAACGCGCCGGATACCATAGTATACTTAGGCTATGTTCCGAAACGTTTTCAGTATACTGCCGAATACAAATGACGTCATCAATCGATATTATATTGTACTGGCGTACCGCCGCCATATTGCGTCGGATATCTGGCAATAATAAAAATTTTTTTTTATTGTGTGTACGCTGAATGAAGCATGCCAGAATTTGTTTTTATTTATTCAAATACAAAAAATTTTAGAAGAATTGCTGGTATCTCCATTAGGAGGATATAATGATTTTTGGAGCACAAAATGACAAAATAATCGCAAACACTTTTCCAATATGGCGCAAATGTATGACGTCATATAATGTCCTATGTTTTGAAACGAATCACCAGTACCTATAGCGTTGATTTGCATTGGACAGTGCACTGGGTTCTATTTTGGAACATACCCTTAATACATAGACACTATACGAACTAGACTACGGACTTCAATTTGGCACGATCCTGACACACCTCTCTCGCCTCCTTTACATCCATATATCTACGCATACATGCTCATCTGTTAAGGGTACTCCTAACGTGGCCCATTTTCAAAATATAGCCAATTTGGTCGACAAAACTTCGTCTAGGGCGGCCCTTCCCGACTCTGCCGTTCACATCCGGATACCAGCCAGTAAATAAATAAATACGATGTACTTTAATTGATAATTAGTGTCAAAATTATTCTAAGAGAACTGTTATCTAACCGAGTATCCTCCGTGAGCCTTCGCGACGTTGTTGATCAGCTCCATAATGAGAACGGTCTTCCCGACGCCGGCGCCTCCGAAGAGGCCAATCTTACCACCTGCAGGACCAAATATTATCAAATCCCGTTCAGTTTTCAGTGACTTTGCCTTGTTTATATTTTTAACAAAACGGTTTGTACTTCCCTACGCTCGTTAAATTGTAAAAAAAAACCTCGAAACATAAAGTGGTGACGATCTTCAAACAGCTAAACAGATTAACTTGAAACACAGCTAAGACCACGCTCGATTAAAACATCTTTCAAACGAAAAGAACTTAATCAAAATCGGTTAATACGCTCAGGAGCTATGATGCTACAGACAAACACACACACACACACACACACACACACACACACACACACACACACACACACACACACACACACACACACACACACACACATAAACACACACAAAAACACGCAACACACACGCGCACACGCGCACACGCGCACACGCACACACACACACACACACACACACACACACACACACACACACACACACACACACACACACACGCACTAAATATAAAACCACTCTGTTTCGGGGTAAAAAAAATCTAAATTAAGGTTTAAAATAGTATATAGTACGTGAGGGTAATATGGTCATCCGGTTAATATAGTCACTTTCTTATAACTCCAAAACTACAGCCTTATTTGCATAGGTCATATTATACGATAGCTCTTCATCAGTCAATCAAACAGTAAAAAGGACGCAGCTTTATCGACGCCATTTTGATAGTTGATATTATAGTAAATATTTTAGTAGATTTTAGTATGGCGTAATGTAGTGAGTTTTTATTAAGGTAATTTTCGAAGTGTTTCTAATTATTACCAAAGCTGATTTGCTATTTTTATTAATATATTAGTTATAGTATACGACTTTGTGTTTTTGTATCTTTCCTGCTCCTCCTAATTTTGGTTTAATAGGACGGCAAAGCTTAAGGTGACCATATCACCCTCATGTACCTTAATTAAAAAACGCGACTACGTAAAAAATTACTAATAAGTAAAAAAGAAAAAAAAGGAAAAATCTAATGCATCACTTATGCAACTAAGACATAATTTAATGACATCGCATATTTTAAAATCTCCTGAGTGGTTCTCACTGCCCAAAACATCGACCGTCGCGAGCTGACCAGTCAAAAGAGGGGGTCCGCACTCCCCCACTCGTGACAGCGGTTAGAGAGCTCAAAAAACCACCACAGAGGCGATATGATGATTTGTACCAATAACAAATCATAAACGATCATCACCATCATTGCCTTTCCCTTTTTAACTAGCCCAATGTCACATGAAGCCGAAAAGCAAGCTAACAGCGCTAACATCAAAGAATAAAGATGTTAAAACCCATCAAGCAGTTTAGGTTGCAGAGCGTGCCAAAGAAGTAGAAATACATACATACATACACTTATCGCACGCAATTAGGGCGATGAGCGCATAGTCCATCTCATGGTTAGTGGATACTGTGGTCTAAACCCATATACAAATGTATATGCCTTTAGACTACAGACGCGAAGCAACTAGTTTTATATAACGGCTATGAGTCGGACTCTCGTACCTTTTACAGAGGGGTATGCCTTGCGATGCCGTCTCCTTTGGCTTAATACTCAAAGACATAAAAGGAGTGCAACATCTGTACCTAGTACTATTATCTATTCTATGACGCATGTAGCAAGAGTGACAGAGGCCTGGTACTACTTAGTAAAACGAGCATTGAGTTGCTATTTCACGCTAGTATTCTGTGAGAGAGATATCCATATCCTGTGGATAAATATCCACGACCAAGAATCAATATGTAGATGCGCTGTCATCTCTGAGGACATTGGAAAGGGTCTCTTGTTCTCTACACTCACCATACGAAACACAGCAGCATTACGCTGCAATTTTACACTGGTATTCTGTGTTTAACTACAAGATTTAAATAAAAGTATTACTTTACTATGCTTCATTAAATCAGGAAACACACCAGATTTCGTACTAGTATTTAAAATTATAGTTAGATGAGGTGCGATTGCATCTATTATAGACGCAATAACTTTAACAAAATCCCTCACAGATCTGCAGTTTTCTTAATATCAATAGTTTTAAAATATTTTACAATATATTTGATGACACTGTATTAAATGTAAAATTCTTTGTACGCGCATTTACATTTTGTTTAAGTAAAAACCCGGTTGATCCGACCTATTCGTGCTACAACTATAAAATAGGTGCAGTATGGCTCTACCACATACAAAAATATCTAAAAACACTAAGCTACTTCTAATTTGAGATCTTAACATTGTGCTGATCATTGTTATACCTGTGTGGACCCCAATGACTATCATTGAAGCTGCCTTTCGTTACAAAAAGTGAACCAAACACTACGTAAATTTTGTTTTTACATGATAGTGCCACGCTACAGCTATATTACGGTTGTAACACTAATGGGTCGGCTCGATTGAGGTAGGATCACGCTCTCACAGAATACCAGCGTAAAATAGCAGCTTAACGCTGCTTTGTTTCGTATGGTGAGTGTAGTGAAAAGGTGACCTTTTCTACTGGAAACCAGGCATTCCATCTTAGTCCTCAGGGGTGACAACGCATTTGCATTTTGATCCTTAATCGAGGATAAATGTAGATGTCTATGTCCCACAGCATCCACTTACCATCAGATGGACTATAGCTCGTTTGTCGCCCAAAGCTGTAAAAAATCCTATTAGCGGCAAATACTGAGGATACCTGCATGTCCTTTTTATAAAATTTAAGTATCATACGTAGATCTGTATACCTGGTGGTAAATGGCTACCGAAGTCCATGGAAATCTGCGACTAACGTCCAACAAAGTAATCTACAGATGTGTTGTCATCTCTGGAGGACTAAGAAGGGATATGCCTCACGTATATTTACAGGCCTCCCTCTGTGTAAAATATATTTTTTTATAGCATAGGGTGACAAACGAGCACACAGTCCACCTGATAGTAAGTGGTTGCTGTGGCCCATAGACATCAGCATCTATCCTCGATTACGAATCAAAATGCAGATGCGTTGTCACCCGTATCTACATCTACATCTGTCTAAAATATTAAATTACAAGTATGCTTAACGTTTAATTACTTTAATTAAACATTACATTAATCGTTAATGTTTTAGAAAATTATGTGCACATAATTTTCTGTTTAAAGTAAAAACTTTTGAAGTAAAAACTTCTTTTGGTACGTTGGGCACTATTAGGATTCGGAAAAAGTAATTAACCCACGTGACCGTCACCCTCAGATACATATAAAAAAAGTAAAGTTACAGCCTATATACGTCCCACTGCTGGGCACACGCCGCCCCTCATTACTGAGAGGGTTTTAGGGCAAGGAGGTGTCCGCCACGCAGCCTCAGATACATATATTATACAAAATTAAGAAGTTTGTGAAGATAAGAAATTTTCACTTCTGACGAGCAGTCCTACGACTGACAGTTATTTTCGTAGAATTAGGGTGACAAGCTAGCACAAATGCCACCTGATGGTAAGTGGATATTGTTGTTCATAGACACCTAAACATCTAAAACTATATACTTTTCACAGCAGTGCAGTCACCTAGAAAAAAGGGTGACAAACGAGCACACAGTTCACCTGATGGTAAGTGGATGCTATAGCTTGTAGACATCTACATCTATCCTCGATTAAGAATCAAAATGCAAATGCATTGCTCCCTGTGAGGACTAAGATTGAATGCCTCCTTTCCAGTGAAAACGGTCTCCGGTTCGCTACACTCACCATACAAAACACAGCAGTATTAAGCTGCTATTTTACGCTGCTATTCTGTGAGAGCGTCGTCCTCCCCCGGTCAAGCCGACTCTATCCGTTCTACAGCTATACTACTAATGTAGCAGTAGCAGGTAGACTCTTAGATAGAAAAGGAGTCCAACCACCGAGCAGGAATGAAGTATATTTCGAGAACATGTGACATTGACCGACCCCAATTGAATCACTTCTCTAGTTCACTCTGTAGACTTGTCCTTAGCAGTGATATATATACTGGATGACCTTTTTTACTGTCTGGAAAAAAATAGGGTGTAACATGTGAAGGGAGTGGATGCCTATGGCACTGATATTTTACAAAAAATAAAAACAATAAGTGAATTAAATAAATTAATTAATTAAAATCTACCGAAATACGAACCATATCCACCCTACTTTACGAATAAATAAAACAATAAATTTAGTAGGCATCTTTGACCTTGTCACTTCGTAAGGTCACAGGCTCAAGGGCAAAGGGCAAAGTAATTGTTCAAAAAAATTTTTTAAACGCTTAATTCAAAATTTTTGTTTTTATTTTTTTGTAAAATATCAGTGCCATAAGTTTCTACTTCGTTTACATGTTACACCCTATTTTTTTCCAGACGGTAAAAAAGTCATCGAGTATATATTACGTATATTTACCTCGGACATACGGCGCGAGCAAATCGACGACCTTGATGCCGGTCACGAGGATTTCCTGTTCGACGGACATCTCTGTGAAGGGTGGCGCTTCAGCGTGTATGGGCGCGTAAGTGTCCGTTTTGATCGGACCGCGTTCATCTGGTGATAAAGGAATTGTAAGGATTAGTTCCAGCTACAAATTTCCACCATTTCACACTGCGACAATGTTGTGTTGTGTGTGCGTATTTCCAATGATGATGTATGAAACTGAGACGTGATTCTTCACTATCGATCAAATAAGAAGGCTTAAGTTCACACAGCAAGCTATGGAGAGATACTTTTAACTTGTCTGCGTAATAGAATCTGTTATAAGGATATCCACAGAAAGACTTGAGTAACCAATGTAGCCCAACGGATCAGTAAGCTGAAGAGGTAATGGGTCGGTAATATGATTCGTGGAACTGATAACCGATGGGGAAGAAGTTCTCGATTGCCAGCCTATTACCATTGAGTGGAGTGTAGGATGGCACCTTTAAGAACAAGTGATGACCTGATATAAGATACAGAAAGATGATAGATGCAGGTGGTTTACAATTGTATTTTGAGGCCTATATTGACTTGTGTAACTTTTGTCAACGGTTGAGTAGTAGACTTGTGAAGGGCTGAAATGATGATGACGATGATGGTGATGATGTAGAAATAGTAGTGAATGCTGTGGTAACTCAGAGACTAGTATTGGCCGTAAGCTTGAAAACCGGTTTGGGTCCCCGCAGGCTAAGAAAAAATTATAATTTGAATATTAAGTGCTGCTTTAACACGTGTTAGGTGTTGAAGGAAAACATCGTGAGGAATTTGAATATCTCAGGAATGAAATTATTTCGAGGACACACACTGGGCAGTGCGGCGGACTAAAGAGGGCATCCACACATTTCTGACACAGTGCGGCGCAAGTTAACAAAATGAGGTGTAATATTTATTTCAGAGATTTCAAAGCGGGGCAGTTAATTTGTTCGGAAAATGTAAAGGTTAATGTTACTTTCTATACTAATAGTTACATTTTATATTAATTACATTAAACTATGCGCACTAAATATGGCAAGAACAATTTTATAACTCGTGCATGTAAATCTTATAATAACAACTTTTCACATGTTGATATATTTTCTCTGTCATATGGACAGTTTAAAATGGAAAATGAAACTGTAATGCGTAATAGTTAAATTAATAGTTAAATAAATAATTCACTTTACCTTTACTTAAGTTTAATTTTTACAACCAGCGAAAAAAAAAACAAAAAGTACGTAAAAAAAAAAATAAAATAAAAAAAAGAAACACAAGAAAAGAGGCCAAATTAAAAGAAAAAAAAAAAAATTAACAAAACGAACACCTAAGTATGTCATAATGTTCACTTGTTGTCGATGAGTTACTTAACTGTGGAAACTTTATTGTTAAACGTAATATTAATATTATGTGTTATATGTATATTGGACTAAAATTATGTATGTTTCCCTTGAAGATAAGATAAATAAATAAACAAAATAAATATAGATACTCATAAAAGTAAAATGAAAAAAATTGGTTGACCCTGCAGGCCATACCTGGAACTTCCCGCAAATTTCCAATGCAAAGCGCTACAAATTTCACTAAATTATGACGAATTTTACGAATATGAAATATCATAGTAATTAAAAAAATATCTATTTTTTAAAATTTTTGTTAACGTAATCTCACGAACGAATCAATCGATTTGACCGGATCGGGAGCAATCGACGTGGTTTTTCAAGGTTAAAAGCTGGTTAGCTTTTGGAATCGATAGATAAAGCCGTTTAAAAATTATTCCAAAAAATAGTTTTTTAAAATTTTTATTCTTGAGATTTCTCAAAATCTATCGGTCTTAAATAGTTAAAATTCATATTTATTCATCATTCACTGGAAATCCGCTTACAATCTCAATCAGTCAAGCCGTTCAAAAGTTATAAAAGGTTTATTACACACACAAACACACGCACGGCAGTCGGCAGCGTGAAAATCACAATTATTTCAATATACGAGTATATTACTCGAAATTATTTACGTAAAAAGATAAATTATATTCACACAAAAACCTTCATTACATTTTTATAATAAAACACTATACCAAAACACTAATAAAACGCTAGAAAAATCCAAAAATAAACACAGTAATATTCACGTGAAAATGGCGTACGAAATGAACGTAGATTATAAATAAATATCCATAGCAAAACTATTTTTTATTACACTAAAAGATAGGAAATTTCATATTGATTCTATAATGCCAAACTTCTTCACAGAAAAGTAGTCTCTAAATATAAGTTTTAATGATTTAAAGAGCTGTAGGTGTGCGCGGTCGAATTCGACCGCTTGAATTTTGACGGACTAGAGCCGCGGTCGAATTCGATCGCTTAGAGTTTGAAGGGTTAAGGTGACTCTAGTCGACATTATTTCCATAGAAATTTCGGAGGGGTTTTACTCCGCTGTTTGACAGTGTACATCCAAATTAAACATGATATCGTTTTGTCTCATTATTAATTTTGTCTGTACCGAAACAGAATAGTAAAATAAAAAGTGAGTAAAAAGTTACGAGCTACCAAAGATTCGTTTTTATTGCCAATTTTAACACAACTTTGGGCGTAAATTAGTAATAAAAGCAGTGTAAAATTTCCAAAACAAAGTCGGTACCGACACAGCTCAATTATCGAAGAATTCAATAAATTTTATTGGTAATTGATTCATGCAGTGGTTTTTTCGTAAAACCCCCTCCTTCCAAAGGCCTTTTCGTATTTTTTTACTCGCGCGTGTTTATATGAATTATCGTGCATCTCACTGAATAATGTTCTCCCCGGTGCGGTGCGGGAGGACGACACTTATACACACATGCATGCGCGGTGACGCGCGCTTATTCTAGTTTTATTCGACTCAGTCAGCCTCAGCTGCGGCCTGTGACGTTCGTATGACTATAGCTATACCCGCGCTCTAAATTACTACGCTACATTGACCCCTGCTTGAACTTTGGATTAAATCAAATTGATATAAGCACAGACAAAAATAGAGGAATATATAAATAAAATTTTTAAAAAAAAAAAACGATCTCAAAATTTTATTAATGTTCCGCTAATTTTATCTGTACTTACCTATGTCAATTTGATTTACATTCGATTATAATTATATTCTCAGACGTGCAGGTTTCCTCAATATGTTTTCCTTCACCGCCGAGCACGTGGTAAATCAGCACAATTGCAATTAACAATTTCATTGGTACCGGCGGGGATCGAACTCGGGTCTGCATGTCTGAGAAATTAAAAAATATATATTTCGAAGAAATGTGAAGTTCGTCAACACGCATTGAGGCAGCGTGGCGGACATTTCCTTGCCCCTCTCAGAAATTACAGGAGACCTGTGCCCAGCAGTGAGACGTATATAGGCTGTAACTTTACTTTTTTTTACTTTTATAAATATGTTACTTTACCGACGAAAATTTTAAAGAAAAATAAAAAATAAGCAACCGACAACCTCCTAGGTCTCTAGGTGACTTGCGAGATGTCAGTGTAACAAAACAAAACGGCCCAGAAAAACAGACTTTCAAACTGATAGCTAAATCAGCACGCAACAATTTCATTGGTGCCAGTGGGGATCGAACCCGGATTGCTCCCGTACTGTGATACCTATAACGAGCGCTAACCATGTGAGCTACCACGGCTCTCAACGACATCATTCCGTTCGTGTACAGCGCTGAAGATAGCAGAGTAAAAAATTAGAGATTGTGGTGTTTGAAATTTGTCATCTGTGCGAGTGAATTTTATCTGTGTACTCTGTAACAAATAACTATGTATATAGAAAAAAATCTGAAAATGATATTTCGCCATTTTTGTTTGTGTACTGGTTAGGAACTCGATCAAAAATTTGATAATTTTTCTGTTTTTATACGTTATTTCTAATGTTATTTTACATCAAATTAATTGTGAAGATATTTTCTTTAGGAAATATGTTTCATTACGACGATTCAAAAACGTTTACATATAATAATTTACCTCGAAATTCACTATACGCGATTATCGTTTATTGATTATATTATGTTGTTTAAAAAGTATTCCTATCAGCTTTGTGTTAAATGGATGCTAAATATAAAAGAATGCTTCAATATTGATAACAATTTATAAACAAAATATCTGTTGAGATGTGTCTAGAAATTATTAATACTTATTTTTATTTATTTATTAAAATAATAAATAAATAAAAATAAGTATACATTTATCTATATTGAGTATTAGTTTTTCCCCCGCGATCTCGCCCGCGTGGAATATGGATTTCACGGGTTTTAATTTTTTTGCGCGGAACCCTAATTCTTTTTCTAAAACAAAAGTAGTTCAAGTTATTCCTTATATCATCAGCTATCTGCCAGTGAAAGTCCCGTCAATATAGATCCAGCTGTTTCGGAGATTAGCTGGAACAAACAGACAGACAGACAGACCGAAAGACAGGCAAAAATAGTACTTTCATATGCATTTAATAAAAAGCTGTTATTTTAACATTACAAACCTCAATTTTATTTATTTGTAGATATAGATATAAGATATTATTCATATTGGTGTCATTTTAAAGGGAATATCATGTACTATTATAATAATAAAATAATTGTCTCCAGTAAATATTATACTTTTCATGTAAAACTCGAAATAAGTAACAAATAAATACGATTTATTTTTATATTCCCATATGCTTTATTTTCATCCTTTATTTTTTATTTGACCAATTTTCTTTTAACAAAATTAAATTCTGAATTCGTTGAGCTTTTTGAGAATATTTTTATTTGAATGTTAGGTAGGTACCTATTTAGTTTTTCGGTAGTAATCGTTTTTGTTGCGACAGTCTCGCGCGGTCGTAAAAAAAGTTACTGCGCGGACAGGTGGGACGAGAATCACTTGCGCGGCGTGGACGGTGGATAGGTAGTCTACCTACTGTTATTACCTAAACTCTGATTTTTCATTCCGTAGAATTCTGACATTTCGTAAGTGTTGCTACTAAAAAAGTTCTCCACCGAAAAAGAGACAAATTTGAACCATTTGAGGGCAATAAATAATAAAATGCTACGTATTTTTTATGTTTCACCTACAAAAAGGTAAATCTAAATATTTACTTATACAAGTCACCTAATACAAAAATAACAAATATTTCAATATCACGAACAATATATCTAATTAACTTTAATTACTTAATATTTTATTCTTTAGCTGGCATCACTGTCTACTAATTCCAGGTTTAAAAAACCTTTTAAAAAAATGTTAGCTGTCACGTCGCGTCTGTCACATTGATTGATTTTCATTCGACTTCTTTGAATGCTCGAATGCGCATGTGTTCTCGGTGTTTGCTGCTATTTGTTGTTATTATCTTGTTATATTTGTTAAGTTTCTGTTATTCTGTTAAGTTTTTTCTTGTTGACCTTTCGTTTTGTGATCGTTTGTTGATTTTTATAAACGTTATGGAGCCACAACCTGGCCCTTCCCGGGAAGCAGCCCCATCTGACAGAGCACAAGGCTTAGACTTTCTTTCTCCCAGAAAGAAGCGTCCTCGTGGTGCTTTTACGCCCAACGAAAAGACCATAATTCTAAATATTTACAAATATAATATAGAAAATTGGCCGGCAAACAACTGATTGGAGTGCAACGGAATGTGCTAAAAAGACTTCTGAGATGACTGGCGTGGGTCTGTCAAGTGTCTATAAAATTACCAAAGAATATAAAGACACAAAAGAATTTCAAAAGCCGAAAAAGAGTGGACCTCAACTATCTTTCATACAAAAATTTGACGAATTCACTTTCGCCGCAACTCGACGAAAGGTTCACGCGTTTTTCTACAGGAACGAGATTCCGACTATTGAAAAGGTAAAGTTATTGCTAATTCTTTAACACCTCGTTGCTGACATCCCCCATTGTTTTAAAACTATACTTTAACCTGTGTTGCCTGTCTACATTTTAACTGTAATGTAAATGCTTATTTCAGATTCACCAAGAGATAACTGGTGATCCAGACATGCCTGTTATGTCGAAATCAACATTAAGAAAAGTATTGAAGCATTTAAATTTTAAATACACAAGTCGCAAACGTCGAAGTGCGCTAACAGATCGCAAGGAGATAGTACTATGGCGTCAAAAATACTTGCACCAAATTAAACAATATAGAAGAGAAGGCAGGCTTATATATTACCAGGATGAAACGTGGGTAAACGAAGGCAAGTATTGAATTATGTGGTAATTAACTTTTTATAACCTATCTTTTCTTCAAAGTATTAGTCGGAAATCGAATTCTGTACTTATGTAATACTTAAATTAACTTTGTTAATAAATTTTTGTTACCAAAATGAATAAATAAATAAAGAAATCCATGTTTACAGGTAATATTTTTCAATTTATATGCATATATAACTGTCCTCATGTATAAGTGAAATATTAAATATATTTTTATTTTCAGGACATACCGTCAATAAAGTGTGGTGTGATACCAACATTCAATCTTCACGACAAGCTTTCCTCGATGGCTTGACAACAGGGCTTAAGGCACCAACAGGCAAAGGGGGGCGACTTATAGTTAGCCATATAGGGAGCGAAGAAGGATTTTTGGAAGATGGTTTATTAGTTTTTGAGGCAAAAAAAAGGCTTGGCAGATTACCACAAGGAGATGACTGGGGAAGTATTTGAGGAGTGGTTCACAAAAATACTTCCAAAATTAAAACCAAACTCGGTAGTAGTGTTGGATAATGCTCCCTATCATTCGAGGAAGGTCGAAAAAGTACCAACGAGTGCATGGAGAAAAGGCGATATCCAAGCGTGGTTGACTTCAAAAAAATTTAAATTTTGAAGAAAAAAATGCTAAAAGTTAATTTATTGGAAATTGTGGGTCAGGAGAAATACAAATATCAACAGTGTATTGTAGACGAGATGGCCACAGCACAAGGCATTACTGTGCTTAGACTGCCCCCATATCATTGTGAGCTCAACCCTATTGAATTGGTGTGGGCTCAAGTGAAGGGGCATGTCGCAAGACACAACAGAAGTTTTAAAATGGCGGAAGTTAAAAAACTATTACTGGAAAGTATAAGTAGTATTACTCCTGATAAATGGCAAGAATGTATCAGCCATACAATCAAAGAAGAAGATAAGATGTGCACTCTCGACGATTTCATTGACACAGTCGCAGACTCTTTAATAATTCATGTCAGCGATGATGACGATGATGAAGATAGTGATATAAGTATTAATGATGACTAAAGATTTTAATAAAAATATGTTATTTTTACTTGTGCATTTTTTACTGTTTGTAATGAAAAGGGACGTAATTATCACTCGCCGTAAAACCATGTAGAGTACCGCACTTAATAAAATGGATACATTTACTAACAAATAAAATGTATGTATAGACTCAGATGTTCAGACACGTATTGAAATTGAAAAATGTGCCCGGCCAAAAAGGTTTGTAATCTCTGACATGTCAAAAAATGATAGCTGTCAGAATTCTACGGAATGAAAAATCAGAGTTTAGATACCCACAACCTATACAACAAAATTTGGCAAACTGTCGCTGCGTCGTGGAAACTAAAATCTAAACTGCCTACCTACCTGCCTAAGTACGTCGGTACTAAGGAAACAGTCTTGACGGGTCACTTGTCTTGATAAAAACATGTGTTTACATCTAGTGATATTGTGTGTATATAAAACAAAGTAAGAAGACAGGTAAGTATATTTGAAGACAATTTATAGGTAGGCAGAACTAATTACAATTATCTAAATATTATAAATGCGAAAGTTTGGATGGATAGATGTATGTTACTCAATCACAGCTGAAGGGATCTGGATGATATTTAGCTCAGAGATAGGTTATACTTGGTCTGGAATAACACATTTGATACCGTTTATTCAGGTATTTCGTTCCTGTGTGGATAATTTTCGAGTTCACGCGTTTGAAGCCGCTGGCAACAGCTAGTACGGATATAAACTGCGATGACTGTTCCAGTTCATGCTTCGGCGTCGTGAACTCTTGAGTGATCGCTGCATGACCACCCGGGGAAAACAAAACATAATAAAATAAGCAATCTATATTAGGTATCTATAGAGCCATAGAGGTATAGTATAAAGCGATAACGCAGCGTCTAATAATTTAGTACGAGTTTGTAGGTAGGTACTGCTGATTTCTCAGCAAGCGTCGAGCGGCACAGATTAGGGTGGTATGTATGTGTGCATCGTGTTCGTGTAACTTCGTTTTTGTTCTAACGGTTCGGAACGCACAAACGTACGCACGAACGTTCGGTACGAACAAGACGTGCGTTCTAACTGCTCTTCACTGATACTATCTCTGTCGGGCACGATGCCAGGTGAGACAACGTGCTTTTTGGCCGCGCCCACCAATGAGTTCGAGCCCGCGACTTGTGCCACCTTAAGAATCAAAATGCAGATGCGTTGTCAGCCCTAAGCATTAAAATGCAATGTCTCGTAGCCACTAAATTGAGTCTCTGGTTCTCACTCACCCAACGAAACACTACTGTACTGTATTCTGTGAGAGCGTGGTCATTACCCGGTCCGGACCCATTCGTGCTACCAATAACATGGCTCTCACATGGCACACCTAAAGGTTGGTAATATTGACTTTAGAAGACTTAGAAGAGCACTGACTTGTATCTGGCACGATCCTCACGCCTAACTCGTTTCTTTCACATCCGTATATCTAAACGTACATGCTTGTTAGTTAAGGGTTCTCTTAATTTCGCTTACCTTCACTATATCGCCATTTGGTCGATATACTTCCATCTAGGGCGTCCCTTGAGTGTTCTGACACTCACTTCTGCAGTTTTATTACCAAACTATCGAAATTCGCGATGTCAGCAATTTAGTCATTAAACTTCACATCATCACAGATCACAGAAGTGCTTAAGATCGGAATTTGACTGTCTCATCGGTCTAGTGATCGCAAACGTGACTGCTGATCATGATGGTCCTGCTAATCGGGTTTGAATCCCGGGTCGGGCCAAAAATCGATTACTGGGTTTTTTCTGTTAAGAAATTCTCAGTAGTAGTCCCAAATCGGGAATTTGGCGGTGTATACCCCCGTGCCTCAGAAAGCACGTAAGCCGTTGGGCCTGAGCCTGATCTCACTCCAGTGTGTCGGATTACCGTCCCATCGGAAGAGAGAGTACACCTGTGTTTACGCATACACTCGAGCACTATAATCCTGTCCAGATGGCTGGTTTGGATTAAGATTGGCCATCGTGATCGAAATTCAGTCTGGAGTATATTAAGACCAGCATAATAAATGGGTTAACATGAATATTCTCACCAATCGGCTCCCCAATGACGTTCATGATGCGCCCAAGAGTCGGCTCACCCACGGGGATGGTGATGGGCGCGCCGGTGTCAGTGACAGGATGGCCGCGGACCAAGCCTTCGGTGCCGTCCATGGCTATGGTGCGGCAGGTCCTCTCGCCCAGGTGCTGGGCCACCTCCAGGATCAACCGAGGTTCTGTTTGATGGTGATTTCGATCAAATTATGAAAATAAATCTAGGAAATTTAAATAACTATTTTTTTAACTAACTTTAATTATTAAAGCTATTATTATGGCACGGTTGTTTTTTATTATTAAATCGATGTGAAAAACCGGGTGGCGGTGTAAGAATATCCACTAAGTACTCCATATCGTCTCGTGGGTGTCGAAAGAAGCGTCAGAGGGAAACTGAAACAGGAGAGTGGGAGCTGCATCTTCCTGATATCAATTTAAAATTATAGACAGTGACCGACATAGCCCCACGGATTAGTAAGCTGAAGTGGCAATGGGCCGGCCATATAGCTCGAAGAACCGATAACCGTTGGGGAAGAAAGGTTCTCGCGTGGCAGCCTCGTACCGGTAGGCGTAGTGTAGGGCGACCCCCCACTAGATGGAGTGACGACCTAGTAAGGCATGCAGGAAGTCGATGGATGCAGGTGGCTCAGGACCGTGCTTTGTGGCATTACTTGGGGGAGGCCTATGTTTAGCAGTGGACTTGTGAAGGGCTGTAATGATGATTATGACAGCGGTTGTCATCATAGAATACTATAATACATACATAATGAACGAGGGAGTGGGCGGAGCCCGCGTAGCCACTAAAATGTCACTAACACGTCAATTCACACGTATAAATGTCAACACGAGTTGGGTTTTGACGTTACAAGCGTTTCCAAATATAAAAATGGTATAAGTCCAGGAACAATATAGTACAACAAAAACAAGATAAAATTAAACGCGATAAAAGGCGTCAAAATAATTACATTGAGCGACTTTAAAAACTAACTTACTTCGACCAGGAACTTCCAAGGCGTTTAGAATAGGTGGCAAATGCTTGTCGAACTGCACGTCAACCACTGCACCAATCACTGCAAGATAGTTTAATATAATATTACCCTCAAAATTTTAAAGCTCAAATCTTTCAAAATGTAGCAAACATAGTGCTCCAGAACCAAAATTAGGAAAAGAAAAATTGCACGTGCCTACGCACAGACACGCACATGCACATACGCATGCGCACGCAAGCACACACGCGCACACGCGTTCACGCACACAAGTACACACGCGCACACGCGTTCACGCATACGCACACAGACACAACGCGTACACGCACACATGCGCATATGCTAACAGGCGCGCACACACACATACCCTCGGACACGCATCACGTGCACACGCACACATGTGCACACGCACAAATGCAAGCACGCTTTTAAAATCAAATTCGAAACAGTCAGTTTGAATCGAAAACCGAATAGAATTCGAAAACAATTTCGGGAATAAGATTGCAGGTTTCCTCACGATGTTATCCATCAGCGACTAAGTGAGCAGCGTACTAATGAATAATAATAATGAGCTCCAAGGCCGCAAGCTTCAGCGAAGATTAGAACCACGTGCGCAGGTCAGGATAATAGAACAGATGCACTCTCTATTCCTTCACTCTCATGGTCCGATGGAACGGTAATCCGACACGACCGAAGATATCAGGCGCAGGACCAACAGTTTTATGTTCTTCGCCTACGAGACACTGCCAACTTCTTGAATCCAGGCCCAATAACTGATTTTGGTCCGACCCAGGAGTCAAACTCGGGACCTCATGAACAGCTATTGCATTTACGACCACCACTAGAACGAAAGGGCCCCTACTGAATAGTGAGCACGACCAAATCGATGGATGCAGACAGGCCAAGAACGTGCTCTGTGGCATTTTTGGGGAGGCTTATGTTCAGAAATGGACTTGTAGCGGCGCTGTCGTCGCGCCACTAGCACACCGAAACACACCGACGCCTAAATCGCGTTATTAAAATTCCGAATCATGGACAGTATATATAGAACTTCTCCGAACTATCACATGGAGCGTTGGCCGCTCCCCGGGCACAACACCTTGCCCGGCGGGAGATCTCCCCTCTTCCTACCACGGCCACAGTGATGACCCCGACGTGATCTGAACACGCAACCAAACAACATTCGGAAACTACAAGCTTCATAATCGTCATAGAATACCCCACCCAATAGATTCGCTCCCGAGCAGATATCATCTGCAGTCTTCTAGCCATCCTGCAAGCCATCTAGCTTCACAAGGTTCATCGCAGCACTGGAATAATAATGCTTCCTGTTCCTTCAAGCTACTCTCTGCGCTATACAGTGTTCGGCACGGCTCTGAGCCTTACTGCTCGCCTCTGCTTCACGACACTCTCGCAGATTACTTGCCTTCTTCTCGACTCACCGCAGACTACAAGGCAATCTCCTGGCACTTGCACATTCGTCGGCAACGAGGCTGCACTATCGACCTCCGGTCTGAGCAGGGGGGTGATGTAGCGGCGCTGTCGTCGCGCCACTAGCACACCGAAACACACCGACGCCTAATAATAATAATAATAGCCCCCCCAAGGGAGTGAACCTTGTCGCGGTGGGGGGGGCTTAAAGAGAGCAGACACTAGTACTAGATCTGAAGATCTTGATCTAATACCCCAAGCGGGAGATACCAAACATTTAACACCAATAACATCTGGCCAACTCCCTCTCTCTGAACTAATCATTCCCAACACAAACCCACTAATGGAGCACAGTAAAAAGATGTATAATTTACGGCCGCTGCCCGGGGGTCGCCGGGGCGCACCTGGAGCCGGTGCTGGGTGCTACAGTTCGCGGGACACCGGTGGCGAGACGCTGAGCAGGCGGGCGTCCGTCACACAAAATGCTACAGCCGGGCGCCGTGAGTTGAACAAGCGGGCTTGCGGCGTTGATGCTACAGCTGAATCTTCAAGCGATGATACCACACCAACAACATCATCTGTCGATTTCAATCCCTCCGAGTATCTGACAAGTGAAACATCCAACTTGTCTTCACCAAATAGGACCGACAGTGTTGTGCAAGATGTCATTAATGACTCTGAGCTTGCACCCACTAGCGGCGTCCCTAAAACGCGCAGACGATGGACACATGAAATGAATGTATTTATGCTGCGCACTTATCTTCAGCTAACTTTCCTTGATACTGATACCAAAAATTACCTTGAACCACTACATCAGAAATTTGTAGAGAAATACCCAAATATGCTAGTAAGCCGTCAAAGAGTAGGAGACCAACGTAGAGCTATAGTCCGCAATAAACTGATATCACAAAAAATTATAGATCAGATTTATAAAGAAGTAAGAGAAGAGTTAAATCATCATGCTAGACTCCCAACCACTCATGAAACACAACAAGAAATTTTAGAAACACATAACACACAAGCGCGAACTAAAATGAGATGGACAAAGGAACAAAATGAGACTTTAATGAGACTGTATTACCAGATAACTCAACTAAATACAAATAGAACTTCTTATAGAAAAAAATTACATGAAGCTTTCGTTAATGCATTCCCAACACTTGCTCATTTAAATGAACAGCGAATAGCTGACCAAAGAAGAGCAATAGTAAATAATAAATACATCAGTGACGATAAATTAAATGAAATAAAACAACAAGTAAATAAACAACTATCAATAAATCTGAATAATTCAAGTGACGCAAATACAATACCTCATACACTTCAAGAAAATACACAAGACGCTAACAATACTGACATTCCCTTTATAAATAGCATTGAAGTCTCTTTACTTAGTCTATCACAACCTGAGAGAGATCCCTTAATAGACGAAACTTTTCAGCAAGCATTATTACATTTTAAAGACACTGACCCCACAAGCAGAGTCTACATCCCTAAACAAAAGCCATCTAAAAAACTTGCAATAATAGTTCATTATCTTAATGAAAAAACTCTTCCCGAAACTATAAATACAGAAACGGACTTTATTACATTACAAACTGCAATATATTGCGCTGCTTGGACAGCAGCTAAGGTAAACGGGGCAAAATTATCGTACGAATCTCAAAAAAAATCTTACCAAGCTAAAGACGATTATAAACCACAGTGGCAAAAACGGCTAGAAAGGAGACTAGGTGAGTTGCGAACAAAAATTGGCAGAGTAACACAATACATTAACGGAATTAGATCAAAACATCTAGAAAGACATATTAAAAACATAGTACAACAGCACAAAACTCATTCAGTACATGAGGAACAAAATAAACATCTCACACACACACTTGACACACTCAAACAAAAACTTGCAGTCATCTCAGGTCGGTTACGTAGATACAAAGCATGCACGTTAAGAAAACAACAAAATAATCAATTCCAGAACAATGAAAAACAATTTTATCGAAACATAAAACAAACAACAGCTAACGTACAAAAAAGAAACTGGCTAGGTGACGGCCCTAATCCAGAGGACATGCGAAAGTTTTGGGCAGAAATCTGGGAAAGACCTGTTGAACATAATACTCATGCCAACTGGATACAAACCGAAACTAGAAATAGCAATTTAAACATTCAAGAAATGTCTTTTGAGCATATCCCAATAGAAACATTTAAAAAGGTAATTAATAAGTTGCATAATTGGAAAGCACCTGGATCAGATTTTATTCACAATTACTGGTATAAAAAATTTACAAGCATTCATAGTTACCTTTATAATCATCTTAATGAATTTATAGTAAACCCTTTAACAATGCCAGCTTACGTGACAGTCGGAATTACGTACATGATACCAAAAGATCATAATGATCATAATAACCCTGCAAAATACAGGCCTATAACATGTTTGCAAACTGTATATAAAATCCTTACATCATGCGTATCTGAACTTATATATAAACACATTAATGACAATAGTATACTGGCCGAACAACAGAAGGGATGTCGAAAATTCAGTCAAGGCTGCAAGGAACAATTAATCATAGACTCTGTTATACTGAAACAAGTTCAGAAAGAGAAGTCCGACTTGTTTTCCATGTACATTGATTATAAAAAAAGCTTATGATTCAGTCCCCCATTCGTGGCTAATAGAAGTCCTGAAGATGTACAAAATACATCCAAAACTAATCAATTTACTAACATCATTGATGAGTCTCTGGAAAACACGATTAATACTCACGACTCCGACTAAAATGATAGAGACCAATCCAATAAAAATACAGAGAGGAATATTCCAAGGTGATGCACTGAGCCCATTGTGGTTCTGTCTTGCTATAAATCCCCTATCTAAGTTATTAAATTCATCTGCAGTAGGTTACCCCTTACATTATACTGATAACAATAACATTCGCATAAATATTAACCATCTACTTTACATGGATGACATAAAACTTTATGCTGATACGGAAAAGCACTTAAATCAATTAGCTTACCTTACGGAACAATTCACAAATGACATAAAAATGGAATTTGGAATAGATAAATGCAAAATAAACTCGATAACAGCAGGACATAACTATCAACACCATTTTACTTTGGAAACTGGAGATAAGATAGAACCACTAGATGAAAATGAGGCATATAAGTATCTAGGTTACAACCAGTCACGACAAATACACTATAAATATACTAAAGAAAAATTGAAACAACAGTTCCGACATCGAATCAACACAATATTAAAGACACAATTAAACGCTAGAAATACAATAAAGGCCATCAATACTTTTGCTGTACCAGTACTCACTTATTCCTTCGGTATTATCAATTGGGCAAAGTCTGATTTAAAAGCTCTACAACGGATTATAAACACAACACTGACCAAATTTCGCAAACATCATCCAAGGTCTTGCTTACAGAGACTGACATTGCCAAGAAAAGAAGGTGGCAGGGGAATAATCGATATATTAAACTTACATAACAAGCAAATTACGACCCTCAGACAATACTTCTTCAACAAATCAGAATCTTCCACACTCTACAAGGTTATAGTACAAAATGATAGTAAACTAACACCCTTGAACTTAAAAGAAAACACTACACAAAATTCTGAAAAACTGACCGACGACAAAACAAAAATCACCGAGTGGGCTAATAAGTCTCTACATGGAAGACATCGACATGATATAAGCCAAAATAATGTCGACAAAGAAGCATCGAACGCATGGCTGATTCATGGCGAACTTTTCCCAGAGACTGAAGGCTTCATGATTGCTATACAGGATCAAGTAATAGAGACCAGAAACTACCAAAAGCATATTATAAAAATCTTAACTTCTGATACGTGCAGAAAATGCAACAATTGTCCAGAAACTATTCAACACATCACAGGTGCGTGTAAAGCAATAGCCCAAACAGATTACAAACACAGACATGATCAAGTTGCAAATATTATTCATCAAAAACTAGCCCACCAACATAACCTAATAAACTCTATTGAACCCTATTATAAATACAACCCAGAAAGCGTATTAGAAAACCCCAAAACGAAGATATACTTTGACCGCGCTATCCTCACAGATCGGACCATTCACTGTAACAGACCAGATATTACATTGATAAATAAAACTAACAAAACCGGATACCTTATAGATATAGCAGTCCCTAATACGCACAATCTACAAACTACAATAGCTGAAAAACTCTCTAAATATACAGAACTTAAAGATGAAATAACTCGACTCTGGCATCTTCAAAAAGTAATTATAGTGCCCATTGTCCTATCGACAACCGGCGTAATACCGAAGCAATTACACCAATCTGTAAAAACTTTAAATTTACCACCCAATACATACAAACTTTTACAGAAAGCTGTAATACTGAATACATGCAGAATAGTTAGGAAGTTCCTGCAAACTGAAGAACAGACCATACCTCCTATACTTAGACAAATTGCCTCACAACCTAACACACAGGTAACTGAATAAGGTAGTTCACAGGATAGCACCAAATCCAGCACTAATATACACTTGGCTTAGGCCCGTGCTATTAGCAAACCGGTAAAAGCCGAGATATGAAAGCAAACAAAATAATAATAGCCCCTGAACTATCACGATCCGATTAAGAGGGGTTCATTCGACCAGAAAAGAACACACACAGTAGACGTTCTATCACAATACTTCTTTTTACCAGCTATTATTTGTCCTTGAGTACCAGCTCCCTCAACTTTGGTGGGCTCTGATTCGGAGGCTCCTGACTTTAAGGGAGGTATCGTGTCTCCACCGCTGCTGGAGCTTCCACCACATATGTTATTTTTCTTTTTGAAGTTCATGTGGGAATATGTTGAGTACTGGAAAAGAATGGAGATTTTATAAGTAATGGGGAAGAAAGGTTCAGCATTTAGCAGGCAACCGAGGAGGACCTGGTAGGATATATAGGACGTCGATGGATGCCGGTGGCTAAGGACTGTGCTTTGTGGCATTCCTTGGACGCCTATATTCAGCAGCGGACTTGTTAGAAGGGCTGTAATTATAATAACGATGACTGAAATTGAGTCGTGTACAAAGACTTCTATGTATACTTATCTCTATATAGGCTCTGCGGCTTTAATACATTGTGCACTTAGTTATGATGTTAAACAAACACTCAATTTGATCATTCAATCAGCCGCACAATTTCACCTTCGCACATTGCGACAAAACTCGCGATACCATCCATACCATCAGTAATGATTGGCGGTCCAGCACTGTGCGATTTAAAAGAAGTTTTCTTCCTCGCACAACTTCCTTGTAGGACCTTCAAAAAAATAGCCTACTCCTTTTTAAAAGGCCAGCAACGCATCTGCAATTTCCCTGGTGTTGCAGATGTTCATGGGCGGTGTGAATCACTTACCATCAGGTGGGCCGTATGCTCGTTTGGCCCCTTTCCTATAAAAAAAAACACTTAATTTGCACTCTACTCTAGGGATGTCAATTCTTTCTGAAAGAAGTTTTCAAATCGATACGAATCGAAATCTGATGAATTGATTCACAAAAAAACAAGATCTAAAAGATTGGATTTCTCAAAAATCGATGTATTTTTGATTTACTTTCTGATTCGTACAAAGTGCAGATTACAAATGTAATTTATTTTTTATTTCTTTAATCCATTAAGAAGAGACGAAAGAAACTGAGCACGCACAGCAAATTTGTTTCAAATAGTTGAATAGAAAAACTGTCGTTCTTTACGAGTTTATGTACATTCAACTGGTTGTAAATAATTTTATATTTCTCAGGAAAACAGAAAGAGATTCGATCTCGATTTTCTAGGGTGAAATATCGATTCACTGGATCGATTCAGTACTATATATCGATTAAAAAACGATATTTTTGGCACAAGAAACAGATTTTCCGATTAATCAATGTCAGATCGAGAGCCGTGGTAGCTCAGATTGTTAGCGCTCGTTGTAAACTTCACAGTACGCGAGCAAACCGGGTTCGATCCCCGCCGGCACCATTGCAATTTTAAGTGCTGATTTACCACGTGCTCGGCGGTGAAGGAAAACATCGTGAGGAAACCTGCATGTCAGAGAATTAAGAAAAAAGATATTTTGAAAACATGTGAAGTTCGCCAACACGCATTGGGGCAGCGTGGCGGATAATTCCTTGCCCTGAACCCTCTCAGAAATGAGCGGAGGCCTGTGCTCAGCAGTGGGACGTCTAAGGCTGTAACCTTACCTTTTTAGATCGACATGCCTACTCTACTCTCTTAATTATTTCTGGCACCAAGCAGTAGTCCGTACACAGCTGAATTCCGATCTGAAGGTTATAGAGAGCCAGTATTTTTACATGCTGTGAGGCATTCCATCTTAATCCTCAGAGGTCGCGTCTATAGTATTCTATTCTTCGTTTAAAGTTGGCTACAGGTGTCCATGGGGTGCAGCAGCCACTTACCAGGTGGAAATGAAGTAACAAAGCAACTTACAGACCACGTGGGATGGTAAGTTTCCTTTTCACTTCAGGTTTTTTAAAATACGCAATGTCTCCCTCTCTCGACTCTAATAAAATACATTGTATTTTTTTATAGTTTTTTTTTGTGGAATAGGGTGACAAACGAGCACACAGTCCACCTGATGGTAAGTGGTTGCTGCGGCCCATAGACATCTACATCTATCCTCCATTAAAAATCAAAATGCAGATGCGTTGTCACCCGTGAGGACTGAGATGGAATGCCCCGTTTCCAGTAAAAAGGGTCTCCGGTTCTCTACACTCACCATACAAAATACAGCAGCATTAAGCTACTATTTCACGCTGGTATTCTGTGAGAGCGTGGTCCTTCCCCGGTCGAGCCGACCCATTCGTGCTACAACTATACTACTAATATAACTGCAGCATGGCTCTACCACGTAACAAATTTTAAGGGTGGCAAACGAGCACAGTCTATCTGATGGTAAGTGATTGCTGTGGCCCATTGACATCTACTTCCTCGATAATGAATCAAAATGCAGATGCGTTGTCAGCTGTGAGGTTTAAGATAGAATGCCTCGTCCAGTAAAAAGGGTGTCCGGTTCTCTACACTTATCAAACGAAACAGCAGCGTTAAGCTGCTATTTGACGCTGGTATTCTGTGAGAGCGTGGTCCTTCCCCGGTCGAGCCGACCCATTCGTGCTACAACTATACCAGTAATATAGATGCAGCATGGCTACCACGTATAACGAATTCGAGCATCGTAATGAACTATTTCCATCTTGTATAACATTTGAAAATATTTAAATTAGATTAAAAAAAAAAAACTATAACAACACGGGTTGATCATGAACCGTGCTAATCCTAGTAAGAAACACTAGGTCATAGTCATGCAATTCAACCGATGGTGAAGAAGAGGCGAAAAGGTCTCGAGTGGAAGCCTCGCACTGGCGGGCGTTGTATTTTGCGACCCCCTGCCCCCCCCAAATCTAGGGACGACCTGATAAAATTCGCAAGCAGCTTCAGATGCAGATGGCTCAGGACTTTACTTTGGCAATCTATGCTTGAGACCAGATCAGCAGTGGACTTCCATCTGTAGTAGTAGAAGAAGAAAGTAGTCATGAAATTCTTATCGGTTCCTTGTGTGCAAAATTTCAAATTATTTAAACGTGTGAAAAGTGATTTAAAAATTCATAACGTTTTTTTATAGCAGTGACAAACGAGCACACAGTCCATCTGATGGTAAGTGGATGCTGTGGCCTATATACATCCACATTCATCCTTAATTAAGAATCAAAATGCAAATGCGTTGTCACCCCCGAGGACTAAGATGAAATGCCTCGATTCCAGTAAAAAGTCTCCGGTTCTCAACACTCACCATACAAAACACAGGAGCATTTAGCTTACGCTGGTATTCTGTGAGAGCGTGGCCCTACTTCGGTTGAGCTCACCCATTCGTGCTAAAACTACAAAACATACAGACATACATAGATATAGGTATAATGACAGCGTAAAAATACATAGATATAGGTATAATAACAGCGTAAAAATACATAGATATAGGTATAATAACAGCGTGAAAATAGTGGAGGCCTATTTCACGCAGCGAAACGTTTTCACTATATTTTTAAAATACATATTTAGTTGCATAACATATTATATATTAAACTAGCGCTCCGCCCCCGGCTTCGCACGGGTGATTTCCGTATCTCGGACACAGTGCCACCTACCGGGTCCAATCGAGTTTTTATACCTCAAAAAATTCATCAAAACCGATCGACACATTTTCGAGTTTTTGCGAAACACACCGTCAGTACAACTAAATATTCCAACTGATCAGTTAAAACTAGTACTGTTGAAATTTTTTTAAATATAGGTTTTTCGATATATCGATAAATAAACTTATATATAACTACGATATTGATATATTTATAATCATCCATATATCGAAAATCCGATATTATAAAAATATCAACAGTCCTAGTTTGAACTGATCAGTTGAACTGACCGTTTGTGTCGTCCATAACGGACTGCAGTTTTTATATACAACACGTAACATAATTAACGCACTTTGAGAAAGTAGTTTGTTCAGAATCGTTTACTGAATCGATTCTTATCATTTTTATTATAGGTATTATTTTATTCCAATAATAATTAAAACTACGTAAATTACAGTCACACTAAATCTGTACAGTCAAAACAAACTGAAATGGACCGTAACTTAAGGCAATACGACTTTTAAGAGTGCAGTTTTATTTGTATTATTACAATTCTGACATTCAATAAAAATAAAGAAAAATGAACTTTATTTCAAGCGAGTTAAAGTCTTTGCGTTCGTGGATTTGTACTGTGACCACAACATTCTTCCGAAATTAGTATAACTAATTTGATAAATAATCAGTGTATAAAATTATTGAGGATGCGCAGGGAAACTCGTGATTTTATTGTCGTATCGTTTATTCTGCTATCCATGGACGACTACTCGCAAAATCTAGAACACTGTTCTTTTCATACATATAATAAGAGATGCCCTCTCGTGGCAACAAGTTAAACTAGGTACTACATACATTACAGTTGTCAGTAAAGCGCCATCTGTTCGAAACGAGTGGGACCACAAGAAAGAGCCACCTGGTTCGTACAGATGTGTAATAAGGAAATATGTTGTTAGTAGTTGGTTTCAGCTTCCAACAGATGGAACCACTAACTACTAACACAGTGCGTAAAAATGTTTAACTAAAAATTCAGTGTATGTATTATGATTGTAACATAATATACTAATTGGGGTGTCTGAGGGTGTGCGTTAATTACGTTACATATTGTATAAGAAGAATATAACACGAAGAAAATCAACGTTTAAAGAAAGTCCCGCTTCGTTTTTTGCTGGTTCTTCGCAGGACATTTCCAAAGCAGTCTGGTAATATACATCAAATAATTTCTATATATAAATTAAGTGCTTATAATTTATTCTTATTCATCGATGGCTCATCGTTAAACAGCGGTGCTCGGAACCGCAGGTTCGATTCCCGCACGGAACATTTATTTGTATGGCCTACAAATTATTGTTATGTGTCTGGATGTTTGTACTTGTGCAATTTATGTATGTAAACTGCCTCCACGATAAAGGAGAAAATCCTAGAGTAGGGATAACGTTTAAAAAATATTTAATAAATAATTTAATATTGAAATATATGAAACAATAAAGTCACTTAAAAATACCCAAAGCACAGGGTATGACGGAATAACTACTAAAGTAGTCAAGAGACAGCATTTTTGATTGCGGGTATTTTATGTCATATAATAAACTTATGTATAGAGCAAGGCAAATTCCCTAAGTCTCTAAAGCTGTCAATAGTAAATCCATTATTTAAAAAAACCGACAGATGTGATGTTGGATGTTATCGCCCTGTTGCTTTGATTACTGTATTTGCGAAAGTTTTTGAAAAAGTTTTATATAAACGTTTAAATAAATATCTCGAAGATAATAAGATACTCGTAAATGAGCAAAAAGGATTTCGTAAAAATAAATCTGTAAACGCGGCAATTTATGACCTGCTCAACAAAATTATAACATGTATAGACAAAAAAATACCTGTGGCCGCGCTATACATGGACATGACTAAGGCTTTTGACTTTGTGGATCACAAAATATTAATAAGAAAATTACATCAATATGGATTGCGAGGGACAGTTTTAGATCTTTTTGAGTCATATCTTACACACAGGACGCAGATTACTGAAATAAGGAGAATATGTCCTATAAAGTTGACAGAAAAGGTTTATCGATCGACACCCCGAGCTGTGTACTACGGCGTTCCACAAGGAAGCGTTTTGGGTCCACTCCTGTTTCTTTTGTACATTAATGACCTTCCATCGGTGATACAACAATCTATGGTCCTTTTTGCGGATGATTGTACGGTCGTTTATGAAGGCAATAATACCCAAGGCTATGAAATTGAGATTAACAATTCCATTGGTCTTATAATTGATTGGCTCGTAAAAAATAACTTAAATATAAATTTAGAAAAAACTAAAATTATGAAATTTAATTGGCAAAAAGATAGTTTATCAAGTTTTAATATTAATTATAAAGGTTCACCAATCTATGAAACGATAGAAGCTAAATTTTTAGGAATTATCATTGATAACCAACTGAACTGGAAGGCACAGGTCGATAGTGTTTGCAATAAATTATATAAATTTTCATATGCCTTGTATAAGTTAAATAAAAGAGCAAATACGCAAACACTTCGTATAGCATATTTTGGATACGTTGAGTCAACACTTAGGTATGGTGTAATGTTTTGGGGAAACTCAGTGGATCGGGAAAAGGTATTCAAAGCTCAAAAAAGGTGTATTCGAGCAATCAAAAATCTACACTGGACAGACAGCTGTAAACCACATTTTAAAGAGCTGCAAATTCTAACTTTTCCCTGTCTTTTTATCTATGAGACGGCTGTGTTTGTCCATAGAAACCTGCCACTGTTTGAAAATTTAAATAATAGAAGGTATCCTTTGAGATTAAAAGTTCGACAATCAAAGGCAGCAATAATGCGAAAAAGTATATTTTGCCTATCCATACCTTTATATAATAAAATACCTAATGACATAAAGAAAATAAATAATATACAAAGCTTCAAAAAATCATTAAAAACATTATTAATTACTAAATCTTACTATTCTATTAATGAATACCTTAATGACATAGAAATTAAATGATTGTTTTGGTATACATAATAGTATAATATTTATATTTGATTTGACATACCACATATTATACATTTGACATGATATTATGATAACCTGATGACCTCAGACAAAATATTTATTTTGTCTGAGCCGATGACATCGACATTTTTGATTTTTTTTTTTATATATAGTTTACTTACGTGACATTAGCTTAAGATGCAGTATTTATTGTTGACTCGTGTATTTAATAATAGTAATAATAATTTGAAAAGAGACATTTTTATTTACTTCACCTTTTTCTTTTTTTTTTCAATATAGACGTAAAGGCGCCAATACGAAATGTGTTATGTGTCATGGGTATCATTGCAAGACGCTTTTCACTTATAATATATAACATTTTTGTGAATATTTAATACCACCTACAAATATGATTATTGTATTTTTATAATTTGCAATCAATTTTAATAGTATTCCATTTTGCTGTTATTGGCTATAACGTGAAGAAATATATTTGTACACCACACTGTGGTAGAATACACGGTACCTACTGTAAATTTTTATAACACCTAACTTACTGTATTCACAAATAAATAAATGAATTTGAATTTGAATTTGAAAAAAAATGCTAATCTATATTGTTCAAATGTTTATGATAAAGTCGCCTTTAAGAGAATTATGACTGATCATTACCTTTCCCCTTCCATTTTTACCTTTTTTAAATGTTTCTGCGTGTGTATGTGTTGATATTATAAATTATTTCATTTTGTATAATATGTTTGTACGGAAGTATGCTTAAAATGTTTGTAATATGTAAATATTTAAAATTGCCTATGATATATATCAGGTATAGAGCATATTCCTTAGGTTATTTGTAGTGAATTGTACACTTTATGTGCAAAAAGATTTTAAATAAATAAATAAAGTCTTACATTCATACAAGGTATCCTTAATTGGGCACAAGCTCCAACCTTGGCCATACGACTTCGCGCCATGTTATCTTGTCCATCAATATTTTTATATGGTTTTAATATTATCTTTCGAATGCTAGATGGCGCTAGTCGTTGAGCTTTAGTTAATTTGATCTCTGTGCTCCCGTTGCCATATTTTGTTATTTTTATAATGTTTCCACTATGTGATTGAGAAACGCTTCGATAGATATAATTGCCCCCAGAAGACCAGATCGATTTCTGATGCGTGAAATTGCCTGTAAATAAAATTAATACTTTTGAGCGTTTTTAGGGTTCCGTAGTCAACTAGGAACCCTTATAGTTTCGCCATGTCTGTCTGTCCGTCTGTCCGTCCTCGCTTAATCTCTGTGACCGTTAGCACTAGAAAGCTGAAATTTGGTACCAATATGTGTATCAATCACGCCGACAAAGTGGTAAAATAAAAATTGGAAAAAAAATGTTTTATTAGGGTAGCCCCCCTATATGTAAAGTGGGAAGTGATTTTTTTTTAATTTCAACCCTTACGTGTGATATATTGTTGGAAAGGTATTTAAAAATGAATAGGGGTTTACTAAAATCATTTTTTGATAATGTCAATAATTTCAGAAATAATCGCTCCAAAAGTAAAAAACAATGTGTCCCCCCCTCTAACTTTTGAACCATAGGTTTAGAAAATATGAAAAAAATCTGAAAGGTAGAGCTTTATAAAGACTTTCTAGGAAAATTATTTTTAACCTGGATGGAAACAGTTTTTGTACAAAAAAGACAAAAAGTTGTACAAAATAATTTCTGGACTAAGTTTGTAGTATAATCGATTAAGCAGGCATTTTTTTTAACTTTGTTTACATATTTTATTATCCAGAACGTATCTTTTTTCAAACCAAAAAAGAATTATTAAAATCGGTTCTCGCAATCCAAAATTACCACAGAAAACTTCTGGCACGTCTATGTATTAATTATTAACCCAATTCTCCGAGAGATGGCGCTGTAGGTACTTATTACATTGGGTCGGGTATTATCGAATTGTTCGGTTGGTCTCTCCTTGGCATCGCCTGCCGCGGAGCGTGCAATGTTGCACGCTCCATGTTCGCGCACGTACCCACTACCGGGAGCAGTTGCAGGAGCGCGGAGCGCTGCTGGAGTGCGAACATAATGGATACCCACCTTTAAACTCATAAGTGGGAACACTTATTGTGACGGACGGGAAACTACGGAGCCCTACACTGAGCGCGGCCCGACACGCTCTTGGCCGGTTTTATTCAACTTTTCGGATAGATGACGCTAATGAGACACGGACACTTTACCTACTCTATACTCCAACTCGTTCCTAACTCTGTACAACTCGCGGCACGAAAGTCTAGCGGTGACCGTTATTGCACATTATTGCGTATGATTGGCTGAGCGTATCGTTCGCTCACGCTGATTGGCTCTCCGGTCGCATTTCGTCCCCCGTACTAATATGATATCCGCAGCTACCCCCTCCACGTTTCGGTCAGCGCTAGAATTACGTGCCACGAGCTATACCTATCTGGAAAATTTTGTGCGCGTCAACAGATGGCGGTTATACCTTTTTCGTGTAATTGTAATTTAATTTTAGTGTACTGGACACTAAAATTAATTTATATCATTTATTAGTTACAAGGAACTTTGCAGTGTTCTCTCTTCTGACCACAGCCTATCCAAAGTCCACTGCTGAATAAAAGCTTTTTTTTTTTTTATAGTATAGGGTGACAAACGAGCACACGGTCCACCTGATGGTAAGTGGTTGCTGTGGCCCATAGACATCTACATCTATCCTCGATTACGAATCAAAATGCAGATGCGTTGTCACCCGTGAGGACTAAGATGGAATGCCTCGTTTCCAGTAAAAAGGGTCTCCGGTTCTCTACACTCACCATACGAAATACAGCAGCATCAAGCTACTATTTCACGCTGGTATTCTGTGAGAGCGTGGTCCTTCCCCGGTCGAGCCGACCCATTCGTGCTACTACTATACTACTAATATAACTGCAGCATGGCTCTACCACGTAAAAATCCCACATATCTGGAGTTTTTTTAATTTTGAGTTGTTACCAAGATGCACATCTGTTTAACTCTCCTTTTTCGAAATTTATGCAACCCACGGTATGGTATGAGGTAATGGAATCACTTCCGCCACCATAACACGGTACCGATATAATTTTATTTAATTATTTATCATTATATTAAGTACAGATTGCTCCGTGAAGGATAACATCTTCAGGAAACCTGTGAAATACACCAACACGCACTGCATCAGTGCGGTTTATAGGCTCTAACCATTAAAGTAATATGTAATACATATAGAAGAGACTGCTCACCGAGACTTTAATTGTTTGAAACGCGTGTTAGAGCCCATGGCTAACCCATAAAATGAGCCCATAAAAAAAAACTATGTGCTTGTGACCACGCGTCGCGCACTGACGCACAAATTTTGTTCGCGGTGTCTGTTCTAGTACGTGGTACATATTACAGTATTTTTATAGAACATAAGCGACAAACGAGCACACAGTCCACCTGATGGCAAGTGGACACTGTGGCCTATAGACATCTACGTTTATCCTCGATTAAGAATCAAAATGCAGATGCTTTACCACGCCCGAGGACTAAAATGGAATGCCTCATTTCCAGGGAAATGGGAATGGAAAATCTACACTCACCATACGAAACACAGCAGCATTGAAATGCTATTTTACGCTGGTATTCTGTGAGAGCGTAGTCCTTCCCCGGTCGAGTCGATCCAATCGTGCTACAGCCATACTTTAGCTGCAGCGTGACTCTACCACGAAAACTTCTATTACACTTCTACACTTCAATGGCTGTAACTTAACTTTTTTTTTTAAATATTTTTTTTCTTATTTATTTCTTAATTCTAGCTTCTTAAACAATTAGGGCCCTTCAATATTATGATATTTCTTAGCAATGTTAAATTTTTTTTCCTTTATAGCCGGTGTCATCGTCTATGCGAGAAAAACCAGTCATCCAACCAATCAAAGTAGTTTTCAGATTAACTTAACAGATTAACCTTGCACATTTGGTGTGGGCATTTTAACATACTTAATTATAGGCAAATTGTCGTGGCGACTAAAATAAAAAAGTGGTCGTTTTTTATTATCTATCATTATTTAAAAAGGTTTTTATCCTATAAGGATATGTCAGCCTTATCGTAGCATACCCTGTTCCAGTTACACAAATCCTAAGTACGTATGTAGAAGGGGTATCAATGTGGTAAGAATATGTAAATTAATGATTTTTCTGCCACCGTGTGTGGCTCCGCTAGTATATTCAAAAACCAACTCGTTTCACACAAATTAATATTAAAGTTTTGCACCAGTTTTGTTCCTCCCTTTCCCTTTGATATTTGACACATTCTACTAGCACATGTTGGACATCTTCTATAATGTGACAAATATCGCAATTGGGCGAATCTACTTTTTCCATGAAAAATACAACTTTTTTATTGGAGTAGTGACCAGAACGTAACTCATGAGTAGTAATTATATGGTTTCTATTCATTTCAACGGTACCCGAAGAGGCTGATTTTCAATTGTTTTATACAATATTCATTTTCCCTGCTTCTTTCATCAAAATACTCAAAATTTATCATAACAAAGGTTTTTGAATTTTGTCAAGGTTTCCGTGTAACCTAGTAGAATATTTAATTCGATTCCTTGCGTTAAAGCAAGCGGCTTGTAATCGTTACTCGTAAAGACGGCTATAATATGTTTATTCAAAATAAAAAATGAAACTGAAAATTTGTTTTTTTTAAATAATCATACATTATATAAGTATGGGAGTAAGTTTTTTTTATAGAAGAGGGGGCAAACAAGGATGCGGCTTACCTGATGTTAAGTGACTACCGCCGTCCATCATCAGCCGCAACACCAGGGGAATTGCAGGTGCGTTGCCGGACCTTTAGAAAGGAGTAAGTTCTTTTCTTGAAGGTCCCTAGGTAAAAAAATACGTATCGGTCCGGAAAAATCACCGGTGGTAAACTATTCCACAGAGAGGTCATACGCGGAAGAAAACTCCTTAGTGAAACGTACAGTGGTGGACCGACCAGCATCCAGATGGTGTGGATGGTATCGGGACATTTGCCGCGTAGTGCGTTCACGAAATTTGGCGGCTGGGATTAACCCGAACAACATCAGAGCACGAGCTTTAAGTAATTTATAATGTGGCAGAATACCCCGCTCTTCTAAAGCAAGAGTTAAATAATCACAAAATAAATTAAAAAAACAAATACCAGAAACTAAGCCTATATTTATTTAGTGAGGGTTTTATATAAAATGGCTGTTTTGAAGAAGTTATGAGTTTGTATATTTGTATCTTAAATCTAGAATTAATATGGAATATTTTTCTAAATTATGTGGCAAAACCTAGCTTAGCTTTATTATGACTGTAGCACGAATAGGTCAGCTTGAAACAGCAGCTTGAAGCAGCTGTGTTTCGTATAGCGAGTACAGACATCTAAGACTCTTTTTACTGGTATGTTTAACTGGTATGAAATGCCTCGTGCATTATTTCTTATTTCTCAAGATCAAGAACGCATCTGTATTTTGATTTATAATCGAAGCTACCATCATAAATTAAACAAAATACTTTTAAAGGTATTTAGTATGACTTACGCGGAATTTGTAAACATTTCTTTAGAGATTGACTTGTTACTATTTTCATTATATTAATCAGGAGTTACGTTTTGTTTATTTTCTTCTAAAGAGAAAAACTTACAACGAAAATATTAATTAACGCGGTAACGTCATGCGTTTATGTTAATCTGTTGCTATTTCTTACATTTTAACAGCCAGTAACTTTTTATTTTCATTATGAACTTAATAGAAAACCTATTTTATGGCAAAGGCAGAAAGAGACAAAACACCGACAATAGTCGTTTCCGCCGATTTCATAAATTGAAGAGGATCAAAGAGTATAATATACTATAATAATGAGGTTATCAATTTGATTCTAATTTAAATATAACATATATTACATGTAATGTCCAAGATTTTCTTAATAGTTTAGTGGAT